TGTGTGCTATCACTTTTTTTCTGGCCTCTATATCTAGTTCTGTTCTCTGACCCTAGATAAGTTCATTAGGGTGCACAATATTTTGGGGAACACAATATCACCACAGTAAGTCACTTCCAAAACAACAGATTCATCTGGATGCCTAGACAGTCACTCAAGGTTCCTCTGCAACATTGGGACATTCAATCTTCAGCCTATGGGCCAAGAATGTCTGGCAGACTTTTCCATGAAGCAGGAATTTTGAAGGACTGTCCTGCCTTGTTTTGGCGAAGTTTGGCAATCTTTTTCCTTTCTGTCCAGCTTGTCCAGTTTGTACAGCCTACTGTCAGCAGTCAAGGCAAGAGCAGTTTCTTTGCCCAGTAGCTAACTTTGCCACAATGAAAGCAAACTCTATATGGAGTTTCTTTGATGTTCATCATCTTCTCTGAGGTAATTGGTGCTGCCAGGAGCTAATGTGTCTCACTGTCATGAAAAGTCTCAGGTTATTAAACATATTGAATGCTGTATTCTGTAGGTCTTCCAAGTGTTTGAAGATCACCTATCTATCTAAAATATATCTCTTTAACCTTAAAAACATACCTAATGTGACTACAAGTTTGATTATTATAGATGACTAACTACTAACCTGCATTTCTTAGTTATCCTAAATGGTTTATAATAATAGCTTTCAAGAACTAGATCTTTATCTTATACTTTAAAATGAGTTGCATGGGTACGATGCCCTAAGCAAGAGTAGAAACATACATATGGTTTAACAAAAATCACCTTAAATTTGTATCAATATACAAAAAATCCATACCAATGTAAAATATTTGACGTTAATAGTTGTCTTTTTATCCTATATTCCTATATCCTCACTAAACAATGACAAACACCCATAAACCACCGAATGACCAAAAACTACCCACCTCACCTCTTGGGAATGTGGGTGTTGTGTTCTCTAGACTGCTTCCTGTTATCTGTGGGTAAAGGTATCTTTAGGGAACCTGAGAAAATTGAGATAATGGTCGAGTCCTAAGAAAACTAGCTGTAACATTTGTTGTCTAGTCTTGGCACAATGGGAAAGTGCAAGGATTATCTGTAGTCCTGGTTAGAATAGTCTGTGAGACTGGACCATCTCAGCCAGCAGCCTGCAAGCTGTTTTGGATTCAGATCTTGCAGAAATTGCAACAGAGGCACTTTGAGAGGCTGGATCACCTGAGTCACTCGTTTTCATTGATGTCTGGTCCCATTGCTCTGAAAACACACAAACTTTCAAAGATAACATACACATATGCATTAACACTAGTATGGACTATATGTTTTACACAAGCCAGACAAAGATGATTTTTTGTTTTATGTTTGAGCAGGTAAAATATATGTCACTTGGTTTATTTAAGTTGTAGCCAGGATTTTCAGGGGTTCTCCCCTGATCAAACCTGATCTCTAGTAACCTTGAAGGAATCCACAGTCTTTCATTTCCTGTGGCTCACGATGGCCTTTAACTCCAGCTCCAGAGATTTGATGTCTTCTTCTGGCCTCCACTGGCACCCACCCTGACCCTCTCACAGTAAGCTTGTACACAAAGAGACACACAAGGATACCAATTAAAGTGTCTTTTCCCCCATGAAGGGATAAATCTGTTGTTTTTATACTTTTAGCAAACCCAACTGAGATGCTTCCTTTTGAGGGTTTCATTAGTGAACTGCCCACCTTGCAAATGGACAGCTCACTCATTCTTTAAGCCTGTTTCCTCACTCATAAAGTGGTGATGGCATAAGAATCACCGACTTTATTGGGAGAATCTTAAGTGAGCTAGTATGCAATCATGCTCTGAACATGTTAAATGTCATGGAAAGGGTTGGGAATGTAGCTCAGTTGGTAGAGTGCTCACCTAGCATGCACAAAACACTGGGTTCAATCCTCAGCACCCCAAAAACCAGGCAGGGTGATAAATGTGTGCCTGTAAGCTCAGCATTTAGAAAGTAGAGGCAGAAGATTCAGGAGTTCAAGGTCATCTTCAGCTACCTTATGAGTTCTAGGCCAGCCTATACTGCATGTGACCCTATCTCAAAATTAATAAAGCTGGGGATGGTGGCCAAGTCTTTAATTCCAGCACTCTAGAGGCAGAGGCAGGCCTGTCTCTATGAATTTGAGGCCATCCTGTTCTACATAGCAAGTTCTAGGCCAGTCATGCTTACATAGAGAGACACTGTCTCAATTTTTTTTTTAATGATAAAATAAAATGTGGGAGTTGGAAAGAGAGCTGAGCAGTTGAGAACACTGGCTACTCATCCAGGGGAAGAGTTCAACTCTTAGCACCCTCATGGCCCCTCACATGTGGTTGTGATTCCAGTCCCAGAAGGCTTTCTCCAGCACTACATACACATGATGTGCAGATATTCATTCATGCAAACACTCATACATGTAAAATAAAATCAAATACAAAGAAGAAAAGTGAAAATATAAGAAATCTATTACACTAAACCATAGTAAATGGAATTCCCACAACCACAATAAAAACAGCCTCTCTGACACTCTTCTTTCTGGCTGCCTACACCACCATCTGTATTCACAAGTTTATTCTGAACCCCTGGATGTACAACTATCAGTTTAATATCTTCAAGAACACTGTTGCTAGAAATGTTGCTGCAAATACCTGGAAATGCCTCCCTTCAAATACAAAGTGGCCAAGAGAGGTAACACTGGTCATGAGCTCATCTGAGACAGACTAGCTGGTTGTCATCTAATCAACAAAGGGTAAAGGGCTGCCAATCTCCACTTATAAGGCACTCAGGACACATCACAATCTGTCAGCTTAAGAAAGAAAATAAAGTTTAATTTCCCAAATTTTATTAAAAATGGACTTTGTCATCAGATATCTTATTGCAAAGATGAAATCTCACAACATGCCAATAAAGCTTGCTGTAATAACAAGCTTTGAATGAATAGAAATTCTTTTGTAGTTATAGGACTTGAGAAGTTTTTGTTATTAAAAACTGATGTTTTCTTTATTCTGTGAGTTATGGACAAACATTTTCTCATAAAATGATTTTCTGTGACCAGACACATGCTTATCCTCACAGCACTCAGGAGTTCAAAGCCAGCCTGGGCTACATATCTAGTTCCAGACTAGCCTCAGAAATATATAGAGACTCTTTCGCAAACAAACAAGCAGTAATGTAAAATGGCTTCCAGACTGTTAAGGAAAGAAGAAACAAAGAAGGGATGGAGAAGGAGTGTTTAGATAGTTTTTGAAAAATTCTAAAAACAGTTCCACGTCCACTTTTTAAAATCTTTATTACTTGGTACTCTTTTGATGTAAAAGCTGCCATTTCTCTACTCAGGCCCTCCAGTATCCTTTATTTTCCTATTTAAAGGAATGAGAAGCAACTTCCCAAACAGCCACCGTAGTCTCAGGTCCTATAGAAAGCCCAAACTAAAAGGGAGTTTTCAAATATGTTCCATTACATATTCAGGTGTGTTTGGTTACGATCACCATAACTGCATACTCTTCAGATTAAATTTCTCTTTAGGTAGCACTTTTGGTTTTAGAGAGTGCTGAAGTGAATGTCTGGGAGCAGAATGTGTCAATGGGGCATCCCTTTTCAGTTGGAAATATTTCATTATTAACAGCATAGGACACAATCAACACATCCTAAACATAGTACCAGTCCTTAGCTTTCCTCTGGCAATGATTTCTCCGTGAATGTTGTATGAATAGAGGTATCGCTCTTCTTGGGCAATGGAGGTAAAATAGATCTACTTTGTTTGTTTAGCTCCATAAGAGTCAAATTAATGTGTAACCAGTGGTACAGGATTTCAATAACAAGATTGCCAAATCTCCATACTTCAGTTCGAGAATGGTCTGTATCAAGAAAAGGAAAAGTTAGTATGGATAATATTGTACTTTAGTTATTAAGAAATAAATTAAAATATGATTAAAATTCATTAACTATGTTGTGAATCAAAATCATAGCAATATCTTGTTTATATATTTAATTATAAGAGATAGGTAGAAATTGATATTTTCATGTAATGGAATAATACATAGCAGTTAACACTGAAATAATTATACACACACACATACATGTAACATGTAGAATCTTATACATATTTGTGTATAACTCTTAAAAGTTTAGCCGGGCGGTGGTGGCGCACGCCTTTAATCCCAGCACTCGGGAGGCAGAGTCAGGCGGATCTCTGTGAGTTTGAGGCCAGCCTGGACTACCAAGTGAGTTCCAGGAAAGGCGCAAAGCTACACAGAGAAACCCTGTCTCGGGAAAAAAAAAAAAAAGTTTAAAAACCTGTAAGTTTTTTTATGAATTCATAAAGATATAGTAAAAGGAAACCAGGCAGTGGTGGTGCACACCTTTAATCCCAGCACTCAGGAGGCAGAGGCAGGCAAATCTCTGAGTTCAAGGCCAGCTTGATTTACAGAGCAAGTTCCAGAATGGCCAGAGCTACACAGAGAAACCATGTTTTGAAAAACCAAAAGGATAAACAAACAAACAAAAAAGATATAGTAAAAGACATGAATAAATGATAAGCACCAAACTCATGGTCACATCGTGAGAAAGGAGAATAGGACCAGAAGAGGTAGAGAGTTTTGACTGCTCCTATTACAGTTCGTGTCTTTAAAAACATCAGCCTCAGATGGGCCTGGTGATATTGGTGACATCCCTGTAATCCCAGCCGCCTGGCAGGCCGAAGCAGGAAGATCGCTAGTTTGAGGTTAGTCTAGGCTAGATAATAATTTTGAGCAGGACTGGGCAACTAGTGAGACCCTGTTGTAAACTAAAATTAAAAAGGGCTGAGGAGCCGGGTGGTGGTGGCGCACGCCTTTAATCCCAGCACTTAGGAGGCAGAGGCAGGCGGATCTCTGTGTGTTCGAGGCCAGCCTGGTCTCCAAAGCGAGTTCCAGGAAAGGCGCAAAGTTACACAGAGAAACCCTGTCTTGAAAAACCAAAAAAAAAAAAAAAAAAAAAAAAAGGGCTGAGGATGTAGCTGAGTAAGTAGTAGAGCACCTGCCAAGCACGAAATAAGCCTAGGCCACTCCCCAGCATTGTAAAACACAGTCAAATGAACCTAATCCAAACACAGCTTGTTAAGGTTGGATACTAAATATTATTACATAATGAATACACAGTGCTTATTATTTGTACTGCTATATTTGAGACATTTAAGGAATTGCTCAACATCCTTAGTCATCAGGGAAATGCAAATCAAAACGACTCTGAAATATTCTTTAATTAAAATTTGTTTCAAGATACGTAGTTACTGCCCACTATTGAAAACTGTTAGCTGCCATTCCTAAAGAGTCCCAGGAGGCCGGGCGGTGGTGGCGCACGGCCTTTAATCCCAGCACTTGGGAGGCAGAGGCAGGTGGATCTCTGTGAGTTCGAGGCCAGCCTAGGCTACCAAGTGAGTTCTAGGAAAGGCGCAAAGCTACACAGAGAAACCCTGTCTCGACACCCGCCCCCACAAAAAAAAAGTCCCAGGAGCCAATGATTAATATTTAGATAGAATGGTCCAATGGACAGAGTACCTTAGAGTTGAACAGGTCTGAATTCTAATTTTGGCTCTATCCCAACTAATTTTGTGACCTTAAACAGATTTACTTGCCCTGAGCCTGTCTATCTTTTTGTAAAACAGGAACACTTTAGGATTATTATGAGAAAATACACACAAAAATCTGACTTTCCAGTGCCTGCCTCCACAGGTTGAGTTTTATTTATCACTGTTGTTCCTAATCTAACTCAGAGCAGACCTGGGTAAAGACCTGCTGATTTGAGTTGAACAAACCATTATATACTCACATTAAACCGTGTGAGAGTGTTGAATACCACTACCCAAGAGTATCTTAACCATAATCTCAATTATCTACTAGAATTTTAAAACATTTCTATTAAATCTTGTTTACTGATTGTGTGTGTGTGTGAGAGAGAGAGAGAGAGAGAGTATGTGTGTATATGCGCATGCACGTATGTGCCATAGCATCTGTGTGTAGACCAGAACTTGCAGGAGTTCTCTCTTTCCAACATGTGTGGCCCAGGGATCAAGCTTAGCTTGCCAGGCTTGGTGACAGGAACCTTTACTCAGGGAGCCATCTTTCCCACAGACCCCAGAACATAGTTTATTTCCTTGTCTTCTACCAATACAAGGGGCAAGTTTCCCTGAATTGGGCTTGGCTTTATCACGGTTTGGAAGGCACCTGTTCAAGCTAAGGTGCAAGTGTATGACAGGGAAGGCCCGTGCAATGAGGAGCCATTCACAAGTTTTCATTTCTGTTTGAAGCTGACTTCAAACATGTGGATGCAATGAATTTCCTGATGTCCTCTTTTCACACCCCCTCCCCCCACACAAGCACTGCTTTTTCTCATTCAATTGTAAGTGTTCAATAAATGCTGAATTGAAACAACATTAAATTAAGGAATAATTTAATTTCTTTATTTCAAGTCCTAAAAGTTTTTCCAGATTACAGCTCAATAATATTAGTAACAATTATGAATAAAACCAAGAACAGATGCTACTCGTGAGAACACATTAGAAATATCTGATTCATCTCACTTTAGGGTAATTCTAGACCAATAAAAATACCAACTTAAAACACTGAGGGTGAATTTGTTATCATTGATCCTTCTTTGTGCTAATTAGCTTCCTGGAAACTTTACAAAGAAATATTACAGATTTCCAAAGATTACTCCGATTATCTTAATGTCCCAGTGTTATGAATCTAAATTAAATAAAAGCAAAGTTCATCCCGGGACACTCCTAAGTACCCATCCCAACTAACTTTCTGAGATAAAACAGCTTCCACAGCTTGGTTCCCAAATCCTCCACGAGTGCTCAGCTCCATCAGTGGCTGTTGGTGATCTTGGCTGAACACCCCAGTGTGCAGACCCCTGTCTGTAACATTAAACCAGTCACCATCTCCATGGTGATTCAAGGGTAGGAGGGTAGAGAGAGAACGTTTCCTGTTCAAGCCCCTGTTGATTACTTTCTGTTTTATTGTTACCAGGGACAAAAGCTCCGAACCTGTCTGGGATGTAGTTCCCGTTTCCCTGTCATTTCCAGAGATGGGTGTGTTTACAGGGGCCCCTAATGAGTCCTGTAAGGGAGCCTTCTGCAGCTACTGGGAACATTACCACTGGCTGCCACTGCCCTCTTGTGGCAGACACGTGCCTGATTGTCACAGGTTGGCAGACACCCCACATCTACCATCAAGGCAGTTTTCAAGAGGAGTCTACTTTTATTTCTTCTATGAATCTATGAAACTATGAACATTTTGATTTGCCTTAGCAATGCTTACAGCATTTTTTAAAAATTACATTTAAGCTATAGGAATTTCAGAGTAAGCCTTTGACTATGTACAGGGATGTATTGAGAAAGCTTTTATTATGGTATTTTTAGGTCCCACTTTAATCAAACTTTTAATTACACAGGGAATTCATTATGCTGGAAACATTAGACTATAAAAAGCATGTTTTAAAATTAAACCTCAATTTGTGGATCTCTGCTTTACCAATGGGTTAATTAAGCCAAATCCCCCGGGAAGCATAGACAATGAGTAAAAACAGGCAAAGCCAAGAGAATGAAGTACCAACTTCAAGCTCAAAAGCTGAACGGCTTCCTCCAGCTCCCGACCGAGCCAGGGCCAGCGGTGTTCTTGAATGTTTTCCTTCTCCATGAGCTCCTTCAGTGTGGTTTCTCTGTTTCTGTTGCTTCACACTCCCTGAGTCATTTTAAAATTTACTCATTTAGCATTACTGCTGGTCACAATAAGCTAAAGGTCTGTCCAGAACGGATACTGGAAGGAGACGTGCGTGCAGATTTCAGCTCTATTTTCACATGGGCAGGGGAACTTGGTGATGACAACTGGGCGCTGTGGATTGACTGTTGTCTATTGAAATTGATATTGTTAGAAAATATTATATATATTTTTCTAATTGTACCGTTCATCTAACAATGTAATGCAATTTTCTGATCCTTGAATGTTATTACCAACTATTAGGATATAAAGAAATGAAAGTTAGTAGTTAGATATTATAATAGAACTTGTAGTTATATTAGGTATGTTTTCAAGATTGAGTAGATATATTTTAGATAGACAGGTTATCTTCAAACACTTCAGAGATCTACAGAATATGGCATTTAAAATGTTTTAATAACTTAGAAAATTTTTCTTTTTTGTTATGACTATGAGACATGTCGGCTCCTGGCAGTATCAATCTACTTCAGAGAAAATATGGGCATTGAAGAAACTGCATATGGAGTTAACTTTCATTGTGGCAAAAGTTAGCCACTGGACAACAAAGTATCCTCGAATCAACAGGACAAAATGGACAGACAGGACATAAAACAAAGGATTACTGATTCTTGCCAAAACAAGTGTGGTTATGGCTTTATCAAAAGGCATCTTCAGAGGCCAGGACAATATGGCACCATCCCTGAAGTGGCCTTCGCAATTCGAAAAAGGTACAGAGCCCTTTTCTTCGAAGGCAGCTGAACAGGCAGTGGGCCGATGGCCTCTGATGTGCAATGGAACAGCAGCTGAAACAGTTATTCTTGAAGAGTAACTAAGCTCACGCCTCTCAATAGTAGACTGGCATTTGATGGAGGGATATGGAGAAGAATGGGATGCTGAGATGAAGCCATATATACACAGCCAAGAAGAATGGACAGCTGAATTAAAAAACCATCAACAATTTCCAGAATTTAAAATCCTGAATCATGACATGACACTAGTGGAATTCAGGTGTTTCTGGTCCATGGACTACTCTCACTCAATGTGAGGTTGAACTGTTGACCTTGTGTACATCCTACTTCACAAATGAGTCTGTCAGATATGCTAAGCCTATAGGCTGAAGATGATGCCCCAGCACTTCGGAGAAACCTCAGGTGACTGTCCAGACAGCTGTCTGTTTCTGTCAACTCACAAATTTTTTGGAAGTTGCTTATGTGCACTTCCTGTTTTTATTTTTGTTAGCTAATATTATTTCCTTCTTGGGTCTCTGAGGGAGTTGAAGATTAGTTAGTTATAGTTGAAGATTAATTAGGATACATTTTGGACTTACCAAAATAGGATAGATAATGAAATTATTTTCTCTGAATTTGTCAAATACAAATGGACTAGACATTGTTTAGGTATTTATTACTTGTATATATTGTATATAGTTATTGTACTTTTGTATATAGTTTTTCTTATATTAGTTATAAGTTTTTTCTTTTTTTCCTTTTTATTAAAATAGAAAAGGGGAAATATGGTGATATTTTATTTGTATTAAAATATTATTTGTATGTTAATAAATAAAGTTGCCCGGGGGTCAGAGCTATTAGCAAGCCATAGGAAAGCAGGGCAGTGGTAGCGTACGCTTGTAATTCCAGCACTTGGTAGGCAGAGCTGGGTAAGTCTCTGTGTGTTCAGGGATACAGCCATTATTGGATACACATGCCTTTAATCTCAATACCAATCATGGAAAACCTGGAGGCCTATACAGACAGGCTGTGAGGAGGCGGTCATGTGGTTGGGTTTACAACCAATGAGAAGGCAGGACAGGAACTCTATATAAAGACTTTAACACAGGGGTAGCTCTGGTTCGGAGAGGTAGGACCACCGCAGGAGGAAGGGTAAGGTTTTAGCTCTTAGCTCTGACCTCTTGGCTTTCTTCTTTGCATTGGTTCTGTGTTTATTATTTAATAAGAAGGTTGGATACATCTACAGTTGTCCCAAAGGCAGACACCTCCCAGGCCTAACAGGAACGGATCGGTGTTGAACAGGGAGGAAATCTTGTTTTTTGATTTATTATAGCTGAGGTGGAAGTTTGTTCCAGGACGGATAACGAGCTCTTGAAAGCGCATAGTTCCACTCCCGCTGTGCGCACGATTGCTGTACAAAGCACCCATTCTGGACTTTTTTTTAAACAACGTAGCCATAAACCAAATGTGTCAACATCGGTCAGTGTAATTTTTTAAATAATATTTTTATTGATTATTTGGGAATTTCACATCCTGAACCCCAGCACACGCACTTCCCAGGCCTCTCAGGTTTGCCCACACCCGCCCTTTTGACCCCCCCTCCCCGAAAAAAGAAGAAAAAGAAAAAAGCAAACAAGCGAACAAACGAACAAAAGAACAAGTCCAATTTGTGTTGCCCGCACAGTCACTGGAGCGTGGTTAAACTCGCGGTGGTCAGCCCCTTAAAGAAAACTGAGTCCTCCCCCATCCAGCCCCAGCCCCTGCCAGAAGCCATCACTTGTGGAGAGCTACACTTCAGCATCCTTATTACAATTTTCTAAAAAAGATTTACTTATTTATTTATTGTGTATACAGTGTTCTGCCTGTATGTCTGCCTGCAGGCCAGAAGAGGACACCGGATCTCGTTAAGGATGGTTATAAGCCACCATGTGGTTGCTGAGAATTGAACTCAGGACCATATGGTTGCTGGGAATTGAACTTAGGACCTCTGGAAGAACAGCCAGTGCTCTTAACCTCTGAGCCATCTCTCCAGCCCCCTTTATTACAATTTTTAAGTTCTCTTCTACAGCTTTCTGCTTAGGTTGTTACTTTTTGGGGGGTTGTTACAGAAGCCTTTTAAGTTCTTCTTTCTCAATTTTGAGTCTGCAGTCATCAATACCATGGCTAAAGTAGCTCCCTTGCCCTTTCCAATCAGTGGGAGCATGGATCATGGTTTCTGGCCACAGCACAGACCACGGACAGCCACATGGTCTCCAGCATCAGTATGTGCCATGGACCTCAGCATGGTCTCCAGTGGCAGTACAGACCATGGATATCAACACAGCCCTCTGCCACAGCATGGGCCATGGACACCATCGTACCTCTCAGCAGCAGCTCAGGCCAAGGATATCAAAATGGCTTCAGGTGGCAGCACAGCCCTTCACATCCACATGGCCCTCGGTGGCAGCACAGCCCGTGGATATCATTGTAGTTTCAGCCTGCAGCACAGATCATGGACATGCATGTGGCCTTCCGTGGTGACACGGACCCTGGCCACAGTGGGACCATGGACCCAGACGTGGCCTTTGGTGGCAGTATGGACCCAGACGTGGCCATGACCTCAGGTGGCAGTGCAGGGCACTCACATCACTATGGCTCAGTCAGTGTAATTTATCTTTACAGAAATTCATGGTTCAGGGAAGAAACTCCCAACCTTTTGGTAACATACCCTAGTCAAACCTGCTTCTATGCTCCCTTTGTGGCAAAACATCTAAAGAACTGTCTTCACTCCTCCCTTCGTAAATCATCTGTGGTAATTTGAATGTAATTGGCCTCCATAAGCTCATTGGAAGTGGAACTATTAGAGGTGTGGCCTTTTGGAGGAAATGTATACTGTGGGGCTTTGAGGTCTCCTATGCTCAAGATAGACCCAGTGTCTCAGACCAATTCTTGTTGCCTGCGGGTAAAGATGTAGGACTCTCAGCTCTTTCTCCAGCACCATGTCTGCCTGCATGCTGCCATGTCCCACCATGATGATAATGGACTGAACCTCTGAACTGTAAGCCACCCAATTGAATATTTTCCTTTATAAGAGTTGTGTGGTTACTGTATCTCTTCACAGTAATAGAAACCCTAACTAAGACAGAAGTTGGTACCAGGGACTGAAGTATTGCTGTGGTAGGCCTGACCATGTTTTTGTTTGGAGGAATGTGAACTTTGGTACTTTGAGTTAGGGAAGCAGTGGAATGCTTTAAGTGTGGCTTAATGGGCCATACTAGTAGGAGCATGGAAGACAGTGGTGTTGAGGATGATTTAAACTGTGGGGTGGGGGATGGCTCAAGAGGTTTCAGAAGAGAAGAATATTAATATGTGGCCTAGAGATCATTCTTGCGATGTTTTGGTGAAGAATATAGCTGCTTTTTGCCCTTGTCTAAACAGTCTGCCTGAGGTTAGAGTGAAGAGATTTGGATTAATTCCCCTGGCGAAGGAAATCTTGGAACAGCCTAGTATTCACTCTGTTGTGTGGTTATTGCTAGTCACTCTTCTACAGATTTATAATGAAAAGGAGCAAGATGAACAAGGAAAAATGCAAAATGTACAATTTGAGGAAAAAAGGAGCACCAGGAAGTGGATTGGAGCTAAGTCCTGTGTTCAAGGAGATAAGCAGATTAAGAAATAGAAAACAGGGAGTGGTGACCTCAGGGCAAGATCTCACCCAGCTAAGTTTCCACCTTGTGAAAAGGGATTAAAAGAAAAATTTAGAGCCAGGTGTGGTGGTACACATCTTTAATCCCAACATTCTGGAGACAGAAGCAAGCAGATCTCTAAGTGCAAGGCCAGCCTGGTCTATAGGTTGAGCTCCAGGACAGTCAAGCTTAGGTAGTGAAGGAAACCATGGGAAGCAGAAAGCCTGTGAAGATGTAATTGAACCAGGGGGTCATGTTCCAGCCCAGGCAAGCAGCTGAACTTGGCTGCTTTGGCTACATGTTTCTGGCTTTAGAGTCAAGGATAGAAGAAAGGAATCTTCCTCCATGACTAAGGAAAGCCACTGAGGCCACCAGGCATGTGTCTTGGTGTCCCTGAATATCCCAGAGAGGCCGTTGTATGAAGCTATGAAGGAGAAGCCTGGATTGCCTTGGAGACCCCAAGATGTTAGAGATGCCAGAGTCTTGGGATACCTGCTGAAAAAAAGCTGCTAACAGGGAGTGGAACCAGCCCAAGAGAAAGAAGTGTGTTGCAGTCAACAAAGCTGAAAGGAGTTGGAGATTTGAAGAGCGTTTTGACATCAGACATGGAGATGCAAAGTTTGGAGTTTGCTCAGCTGTTTTTTGGTCTTGCTTTAGTCCACTATTTCCTCTTTATGCTCCCTTCCCTATGTTTTGGAACAGTAACGTATATCCTGTTCCATTATATGTTGGAAGTATATGATCTGTTTTTTTATTTCAGTTTTATAGGGGATTACATTTAAGAGATTGCATGAATCTTAGAAGAGACTTTGAACTTTGGACTTTAAAATATTGTTGAGACTGTGATAGACTATGGGGACTTTTGAAATTGGACTAAGTGCATTTTGCACTATTGTACTGTTACAAGCTTATGGGGGCCAGGGAGTGGAATGTGGTAGTTTGAATGTAATTGGCCCCCATAAACTCATTGGGAGTGGCACTATTAGGATGTACAGCTTTGTTGGAATAGGTGTGGCCTTGTTAGAGGAAGTGTGTCACTGTGGCTTTGAGGTCTTCTATGCTCAAGATACAACCAGTGTCTCAGACCACTTCCTGTTGCCTGCAGGTCAAGATGTAGAACTCACAGCTCCTTCTCCAGTACCATGTCTGCCTGCATGTCACCATTGCCCACCATGATGATAATAGACTAAACCTCTGAAAATATAAACCATCCCAATTAAATGTTTTTCCTTTATAAGAGTTGCTGTGCTCATGCTGTGTCTTTGCAGCAAGAGAAACCCTAACTAAGGCATCATCTATTGGCCAATAAATCTCAATTTTATATCCCCACCTAGAGCTTTCTTCAGAATCTCAGAGTTCTTTTTATAGTTACCTACTCACATCTCTGCTCACATGCCCAATAGACAGCCCAACCTCAGCATGCCAGATGTGAATGCTTCAACAATATTTATCTCATTTATTTGTGTGTGTGCATATACGTGCCTGTGTGTATGCATGTGAATGCCTATGGAAGTCAGAATAGGGCACTGGGTTCCTAGGAACTGGAGTGACAGGTGGTTGTGAGCCACATCAGATGTGGGTGCTGGGAACTAAACATCAGTCCTCCGCCAGAGCACCAAGTACTCTCTCAGCAAGCTAAAGCAGCTGAGCCATCTTTCCAGCCCCCAGATTGGAACTCTTCATCTCCCTGCACCGATTCTCTTCCCTACAGTGTTTTTTAATTTCACTAATGGCTCCTCCATCCTCCCAAACCATAGTCCACCTTGGCTCTTGTTCTGTTCACATTTCACACCCAAGCTGTGTAGTTACATTTTGGTTCTAACCAAAATCTGTACTATATATCTTCCGACCACTTTTCACCATCTGTCAGGACCATTCCCATGTAAATTCCTGCAGCAGCTCCTCTGGGCATTCTCTTTGACTACCCCCACCCCGGAAAGGCCTTTTTGTCACAGAAGCAGAATGGTTCTTTTATTTCCTTCATCCTTCTTCCCTTCAATCTCTTTCTTTCTTTCAATGGAGTCTAACTAGGTAGTCTTGGGTGGCCTCGAGCTCACTATATAGGCCAAGCTGGCCTTGAACTCACATAGATCTGCCTGACTGCCTCCCAAATTTTGGAATTAAAAATGGGCATCACCATGCCCAATTCCTTATATTTCCTTATTTTATTTATTTTTTAGATGGGGTCTTGCCATATAACTCAGGTTGACTTTTGAATTCATAATCCTTCTGCCTTAGCCTTTGAGTGCTGGAAGTATGAGCCACTATTCTAGCCATTAGAGTGATTCTTTCATAGCATAAGGCATGTCATGAAACACTTCTGCTTACATTCTATTCTCATATTATGTTATGATGGTGTGAGGCTCTGACTGTTTCTGCCCACTTCCCAACCCCATGACCTCATCTTAAATGTTTCTCTAACTCTCTTACTCTGCACCTGACACGATGTCCTCCTGAATGTTTCAACACACTGCATATTCCTGCCTTATATGGCCTTTGCAGTCACTCTATGCTCTGCCTGGCGCACACTCCACAGAAGTTATCTATATAGCTGATTTCCTTGACTCAATTTCACCTTTTGACAAGGTCTATCTGACTATTTATATCTGTACTCCTTCAGACAACAAGACCTTAGGTGGGAGCCACACCATCACCTAAGAGAAAACAAAACTCCACCCCATGTTTCCTCCCGGTCTCCCCCAAATGCACTCAATTGCCTTACCATGCTTACCCATTTTAGCATGTGTTTTTTATACATTTATTATGTTTTCTGCTGTGTGTATATGTGTATGTGTTACTGGGAAGGGATTCTAGAGCTCTGTGCCTGTAGGCCAGTGCTCTGCCACTGAGCTGTAGCCCAGCACTGTGCCGTTGATTCTCGGCTCTCCTCTGGATGGATAAGGTCTGTAGGGTTTTGATTTTGTTTTAGATAAGAGCTCACACTAGCCCAGGTGGTGATGACTCTCCTGACAGCAGGCCATGTAAGTTTCATGAGAGCGGGGACCTTAGTCAGCTTACTCACTATTGTTTCCCAAGGTCCTAAAACAGTCTGGCACATAGTCAACACTTTTTAAAAAGTGGTTGAGCAAAGGCTGAAGCGATCAAGTTTTAGAAGTGAGCAGCGATGAATGAATGCCAATGGTAACAGGAGAAAGCAGACTCTTACATCAATGGAGAAGGCCTGGACCAAACTTACTGCACATCCCAGGAACCTCACAGGACTCAGAAAGGTGTCTAGATGCTGATCAGGAAAGTTAGAGTTCTTAGGAATCCTCCTCATATTACAGCTCCGGGGGACTTCGTCTCCCACTTCTAGAAATATCTCAGGATAACACAGAGAGTTTCAGAGTGGGGCATTAGACTGAGCTGGCAGTTCCCCGATGAAAATGGGGAGGTGCTAAGATGTGTTCTAAATGTGGAGGTCCTGCAGACTTCCCCATTAGGCCCTAGAATTCGGGAAGACAGGCTCTTTCCTCTCCAGACAGAGTAACAGAAGACTCTTGTCACACAGGGAGCTGATAGCTCAAGATAAAGAAGTTAGAGATGCACAGACACTGGAAGTCATTTCACTCTTAAACAAACCATTTCATCTGAGACACAGATATTCAGACACCAAAAGAGAAAGGAAGGGGAGAAACTCCAGGGAGGAGAAAACTTCAAGATGCCATTAGCAATGCCTGAACTGTGAACAGGAGGCTGAAGGCAGGGAGAGCTTAGAGCACAGCGACAGGGGAGTTCTTCGCCATCAAACACGCACACCTCCCCAGCCACGGAATCAGCCGAGAAGACTGAGCTTACCTGAAAGGAAAGCAAAAGGGCAAAGAGATGGAAAATAGGATAGAAAATAAGACATTTGTTTACCTATTTAAAGATGCTGGGAATCAAGCCTAGGGCTTCATGCAAGCTAGTAAGAGATCTGCGGAGCTATACCCTAGCCACTAAAAAGAAGGATTTTGAAGATCGAGTCTAGGAGAAGCAATGTCTGAACATAGGAAAGGGAGAGGAGAGTCAGCACCAGCCTCCAGGTCACCTGTCCTGGGTAAATGTACTGTCCTGCAGCTGGCGGAGCAGAGAAAAGGCCTGTGGAGAAAAAGAGGCCACTTCCAAGCAGACGCAGCGTGGCCTCAGGAAGTGAAATCCACGTTAGATTTTAGCTGCCACTCACCTCCTCAGTGGGGCACCTTCATGCAGTGTGCAGCTTGCACAGTTATAATAGCAACCTTGATGCTCTGTCAGTATCTAGGAGGTGAGGACCTGGATTTCACAACTGAAAAGGCCCAGCAAGCACTGCAGACCAATGGACGAAAACAGCCATGTCCAAGATTATCATTATGAAATTTCACAACGTTGGGGATAAAGGGGTGATTCTATAGCTTCTAGGGAGAAGCAAGACAAAGGTAACGCTTGGAAAATCAGAAACAAGAAAAGCTTCCAATACCTCAGTAGCAACTTTGGACTTAAAAAGCCATAGAGACGTTTCCACAAAAGTAAAACAGAGCTACCACATGACCTAGCAATTTCACTCCTAAGGTCTATGCCCATGAGAACAGAATATGCACATTCAAAAAAAACTATAAACAAATGTTCCTGGTATAATCCCAAGAGCCAAAAACAAAAACCCCAGAGGCCCATGAACTGATAAATGGATAAGTGAAATACAGATTACCAATATATAGATAACTCAGTCATAAGAAAGGAATGAACAACTAATATACATTAAAATGTAAGTGAGCCCTGAAAACACTACAGTGAATGAAAGAAACCAGATACAAAGGCCGCCTAGTCTATAATCCCATTTATATCACAGTCTGGATGGGCACATCCGAACGGACAGGAAGCAGATCAGCAGATGCTGGGGACAGAGTGAGGAAAGAGAGGGAGTGAGTGCTAGTGGGGCTGCAGCTTCTTTTGAAAACATCATAGAATTGGACAGTGGTGATGATCGCACAACTTGGTGTATTAACCAAACCACCAAGCTGCGGATTTCCGAAGTGTGTGATGTTTCCTCTTCTTTTCTCTTTCTTTCTCTTTTTGACAGGATTTCATATACTCCAGGTTGGCTTGAACTTGTCATGTAACTGAGGATGACCTTGACTTAAGATTCCTCTGATTAGGGCTGGAGAGATGGCTCAGAGGTTAAGAGCACTGGCTGTTCTTCCAGAGGTCCTGAGTTCAATTCCCAGCAACCACCTAGTGGCTTACAACCATCTGTAATGAGAGCTGGTGCTCTCTTCCAACATGCAGACAGAACGCTGTATACATAATAAATAAATCAATCATGGGGAAAAAAAGATTCTTCTGCTTCTACCTCCCAAGTGCTGGTATTACAGACCTGTGCCACCATGCCTCTTTTTCTGTGGTATGGGGGATTGATCCCACATGCATATGCTTGGCAAGCACTCTAACAAAATGACATGCAACTTAAGATTGGCACCTCAATTTTTAAAAAAAGACAGTGGGTCTCTATGTCTCAAGTTAGAGAGTTTCCTCTAATCTGGTGACCTTTTAAGAGTGAGAGGTCTAAAAACGGAACCTCTGAAGTCTCCAACTCCTAAATGGCTTCAAAATTATTTTCCTCAGCAAAGTCCATATCAAGTACGAGGGCTAAATGCAAACATTTTCAGACATGGAATACCTGGACTATGTACCATTCATGCAGTCTTTCTCAGGAAACTACCACTCAAGGAGGGCTCAGTGGTAGAGTGCTTCCTTAGCTAAGTGTGGACCCTGGGTCAGAGACCCAGCACTAAGGAAGAAGTAAGAAGACAGAACACTGCTGTCAGGATACTGTGCGGAGAGGGAGAGGCTTTGAACACTCAGTCCTAACTGGGACGTTTACATAAACTCTTCCCAAGGCTCAAGGACCTATGAGGAAGAGGAGGGAGAAAGACTGTCAGAGCCAGAGGTGATGGACGACTCCAAGACATCAATGTCTTCCAGACACAACAGGGTTGAGACACATGAACTCACAGACCCTGTGACAGCTCACACAGACTGTGATGGCACACACAGACCCCAGACGGCTCACACAGACCGTGACGGCACACACAGACTGTGACAGCACACATAGACCCCGGACGGCTCACACAGACCATGACGGCACACCCAGACCGTGACGGCACACACAGACCCTGTGACGGCACACACAGACCGTGACGGCACACACAGACCGTGACGGCACACACAGACCCCGTGACGGCACACACAGACCCCGTGACGGCACACACAGAGACCCCGTGACGGCTCACACAGACCGTGACGGCACACAAAGACCCCGTGACGGCACACACAGACCCGGTGACGGCACACACAGACCCCGTGACAGCTCACACAGACCGTGACGGCACACACAGACCCCGTGACAGCTCACACAGACCGTGACGGCACACACAGACCCCGTGACGGCACACACAGACCCCGTGACGGCACACACAGAGACCCCGTGACGGCACACACAGACCGTGACAGCACACACAGACCGTGACAGCACACCCAGACCCCGTGACAGCTCACACAGACCGTGACGGCACACACAGACCGTGACGGCTCACACAGACCGTGACGGCACACAAAAACCGTGACGGCACACACAGACCCCGTGATGGCACACACAGACCCGGTGACGGCACACACAGACCCCGTGATGGCACACACAGACCGTGACGGCACACACAGACCGTGACGGCACACACAGACCCCGTGACGGCACACACAGACCGTGACGGCACACAAAAACCGTGACGGCACACACAGACCCCCGTGACGGCACACACAGACCGTGACGGCACCCCCTTCCCCCTAGGTTCAAGCTAACAAACCCCAGCACTGGGAAGGGAAGTGGACACAAATTCCCCGTCCTAACCAAGAAGCTATTTTAAATGATACCTTCCAGGAAAGAGAAAATCCGTTTTCTCCAATGGGGTGCCACTGGGTCTATCAACCACACTCAGGCCCCACGCTCTGCCTCGCAGCCCCAAAACCAGGCAGAACCTGCAGATATCGCTGGTGCCATCTCATGCGGAGCGGGCTTCCTGAATAGGAGCTCTTCTTTACGTTACAAGAAGGCCACACAGATCTTGAACACTAACAGATTGCCCTGCCCAAAGGCTTCTCTCCTGACACAAACAGAAAGACGTGCCCAAAGAACTCTTTCCCTTCCCTTAAACACGAAGCTTAGACTTCCTTGATATAGCTTCATCTAAATGAGAGAGGACTGATATCTGGTGACCTATGAACTTGGTTGATTGCCACAGAGACTGATAACATGAAAGGGTTGCTGGTTTTGGCTGTGTCCCATTCGGTTACCTGAAGTTCTGATTACTGCCACCAGAGGGCACTATTGGAAAGCAAACCGCCCTGGGCAGTCCTTCCGTGGTCAAGGCTGCTGAGGGAAAGGCTAGAGGAGTTCAAAGTCAGGGCAAGTGGTGGAAATTTGCACGTGTTCTGAGCAGAGCGCGCAACTGCAGGTGGCTCTAGCAGGCAAATCTGAGACAGAGCCTGAAGGGTTCCTTTGAGAACCACAGAAGGAGCCTTTTGCCTCTCCTGGGTGGGGGATGGGCTTATTATGGGTGCATCTGCAGGGTGTAGAATGGCAAGGGCTGCTCATTATCCTTATTCTTTATGACAGAGGGTCTGCACTGAAGATCTCTGGGTGTCTACGTCCTTGTCCAAGAAGGGGACCTTTACTCGGGAACACAAGGAACCCTGGCAGCAAGGTCTGGCTCTAGGCTGAGGGGCTGGCAGGTTGGTGGGGACCAAAGAGGAGTAAGGTCTTGGGGAGAACACCAATTAGACAAACTGGTCACACATGGGAGGTGCTGCTGCAGTTCTTAGTGCGTGCTAACTCTCTCCAAAGGAAGAACCGGAGACTGGAGGGAGACTGAGCTTGGAGACAGGGGCCCGGATGCAGACTTCTCTGGACTTCAAAGTCCTCAAATATAGAAGTACATGAGAGTATACAGGGGACAAGTTGTAATCGTAGCCACTCAGAAGAGCCGAGGCAGGAGGATCGCAAGTTCAAGGCCTGCCTGGGTTTTAGAGTTCAAGAACAGCCTAGGCAACTTAGTGAGACCCTCAAAATAAAAAGTAAAGGGAGTAAGGGGTCTAGCTTAGTGGTAGAGTGCTTGCCTAGCATGTTCAATATTCAGACAGACAGACAGACACAGACACACGCACACACAGCAGACAGTGAACAGTATCCAGTTTTGTTATTGCTGTTGTTATTGATTCTCTTGAACACAACCTTAAAAGCTAGGCCTGCGGCACCCGTGAATCCAGAGGCTCCCAGGAATGAGCTCAGGGTCATGAGCTCACGCAGAATTCCAAATGGGAGTTCTATGCCGGACTCACCTTGCTCACGGTCCGCAATAATTTTTTGAGTCTCATGTCCTCTCCTGTTCCCAAGCATTCTCAAACTCCCGGGAGTACCTCACTTTCCTAGTACCAGCTCTATGACGTCCCACCCAACCAGCTCAGTGCTCTGCCACCTGTGCCTACAGCCTGAGGTCCAGCCATCCTCTCTCCCTTCCCTTGCCGTGGTCTCTCCTTTGTCCCGGAGGTCTCTCAGTTCTGAGCCTCTCAACCTAAACTATGTACCACAGAAGCCAAAAGTCTGACTTGGTGGAGTCAGAGAGAGGACAGCGGAGGGGGAGGAACTGATTTGGGGAGTCCAGAGAAGTCTGTGTCTGTCTCCCAGGATGCCTGGCTCCGAGCTCAGTTCTCCCCACCCAACCCCCACAACTGGTTGCTTCTTTTGGAGAGAATTCACAGAGCCTTTTCTCCTGCTGATGATTAAGGGGTGTTTTTTGTTTGTTTTGTTTTGGAGACTGAGTCTGTATGCAGCATTGGCTGGCCGGTGGTAAACCAGGCTGGCCCTGAACTTGCATATCTTTCTGCTTCTGCCTTTTACATCAATCAGTGATTAGTTTTTCCTAAGTTGCAAAGAGGAAAACACGTTCTTTACTTAGTTCTCTTGCATGCACAGCCTGAGGCATCTGGTAGAGGAATCCACACCTTTGCAGGAATGCATCCTTGTATTTGTGCATTTCCTTTAAGATGTGGCTGATTCTCTGTGACAGGTTCCTAGTTCCCTCCAACCCAAGAGCCTCCTTGCTCTGTGGTCTTGCTGGTTTCCCTCTAAAGGGCAGCATTACCAGCTTCTACACACGAGTGCTCTTTATAATGATTTTTTTGCTCTTTATTGGAGCTAAAACCAGAAAGTTTTTTGCTTAATGTTCCATTTCTCAGTTTGCTTTGAGATGAAGGTTTGTAATGTCTGGCTGCCCTGGCCATCTGGACTGAAGTGATCCTCCGGACTCAGCTTCCTCAGTAGTGAGAGCTATAAACAAGCTTTGAGTAATGTAGTCACGTAATGAGTACATTTTGGGTAAGGAGCACATGTAGTCAGTAAGGGGAGACAGACATACCTTTGAATTCAAGTGTGGCATGGACCCCTTAGGGGATAGAGCAAATTGTAGATTGTATCCTTCCTTTTAGAAAACTCATGACATTTTTATTTTCATGTAACTCAATTTAAGAACCATTTGTTTTACTATAATGGAAATCTCTCACAGTTTTTTTTCTGCTTATATATTTAAATTATTAGGCAGAAACTTACCTAGGACATAGTCCATAACAAGCTGTACGTTAATGTTCATATCGATAGCCGTTGGATCAAACACACAAAGATCCTCAACTAAGTACTTGTTAATGTACTGTGAAGAAAGAACAAAAGAAAAGTTATGTGATCACCCAGCAGAAACACAGAGCCCAGCCCACTAGCTTCCACAATCCCACACAGGTACATTCTCAACAGGCAGAATGGATCTCTGCTTAGGAATCAGAGTAACTGTAGCCTCTTAAAAGGAGTTTGGTAACGTTCCTTCTGTTTCTATTATGTGGAACAATTTAAAAAGTATTGGTATTAACTCTTCTTTGAAGATCTGGTAGAATTCTGCATTGAAACCATCTGGTCCTGGGCTTTTTTTGGTTGGGAGACTTTTAATGACTGTTTCTATTTCCTTAGGTGTTACTGGTCTATTTAAATAGTTTATCTGGTCTTGATTTAACTTAGGTATGTGGTACCTATCCAGAAAATTGTCCATTTCTTTTAGATTTTCCAATTTTGTGGAGTACAGGTTTTTGAAGTATGACCTGATGATTCTCTGGATTTCCTCAATGTTAGTTGTTATGTCTCCCTTTTCATTTCCGATTTTGTTAATTTGGATGCCCTCTCTCTGCCTTTTGGTGCCTCAACTGAATGTACCAGGCTCTGCTGACTCCCAATGGGAGACCTTACCTTGGAGGAGGTGGGAATGGGGGATGGGTTGGGGGGAAGGCTGGGGGTGGGAGGAGGGAGGACAGGGGAATCTGAGGTTGATATATAAAATGAATAGAAAATCTTTTAATAAAAAAACACTACATACAAGCCACTTCAATACTGAACATATATGATAAAAGAATAAACATGTGAAGAACTAAAAAAAAATGGATCTCTGCTGTTGGATGTCAAGATCATGGTTGGCTTTGAGGTATGTGGTTTGGGGAGAGGGCTTGTGAGAAACTATACAAAACATGGGCTTTTGAGATGTCACTGTGTTGTCTGTGAACACAGAGGTGGGTCATGAGGGTCTTTCCTTTGAGAAGGTTCTTGCATCTTGTATACCTGTGAGTTCTGCCGTTATAATTTGTACACCAAAAATAAAAAAAACCCAACACTCCAAAACTCATAAAAGCCACCCCAAACTCACAAAAGACACCCCAAACCACAAAAAGCCATCCCAAACTCACAAAAGATACCCCAAACTCACAAACTTCCACTTTTCCCACTCTTCCAAGTCACTGGAAGTTTCTATATCCTGCTGAGAGAACAAGATAGATCCTTTCAGAATGTCATGCACAAGGGCCACGTTGGCGTCTATATACTGGGAACCGATGTCTGAAGAAAGCGTCACATCCTCGCGAGGTCTGTGCTCATAGAGCAGCAGAGACACAAAGTCCATGGATGTGAGGAGCTGAAGGCACTCCCGAAGCTCCTGCAACATGACCCGGAAGAAGAGAATTCCTGCCCTCGTGACTTCTCCGGCCTTTTCCATCTCTGCAATTACATACATGCTAACTGAAGAGGTTATTCTTTTACAGGAGTCCGAGGATATTATAATAAACTATTTTTTTCAAGCAAAAGAGATTCATTTCCTACCATCTCAAGAAATTTTAGTTTCTTAAATCATGAAATAAAAAAGCAAAATAGAATTATGTCTGATGTATCATTTAGGGATTAAAAATTGAAGGGAAAAAAAACAATCCAAAAATCTGAGTTTTATAGTTAGGGCTTAGTTTAAAGACTTTCTCCATTACTAATTATATTGTCCTTTGAATATATACATACATACGTATATACATATATACATACATACATACATATACATACATACATACATATATTCTTTTATGGGAATAGAGCCAATCCCTACTTCTTTGATGAGACCTGGGAATTAAAAGAATGAGTACTTAATCTTGTTAGGCCTGGTACCAGAGGCCTATAATCCCAGCTATGTGGAAGGCTGAGGCTGGAAATTATGAGTTCAAGGTCTTCCATGAACTTTATAGTAAGTTCAAGGCCAGCTTGGACAATGTAGTGAGACCTTGTCTCAAAGTAAAACTGAAAAATAGGGCTAGGGATAGAGCCTTGTCTCTGGGGTTAATCCCCAGGGCTTCGAATAAAAGCTGCTTGATCTCAGAATCTGCACACACCGGATGCTTGCAGGGCATGCGTCTTCTTTCTTTCTTTTTCCCCCCTCCCTCCTTTATTTTCTTCCTCATCTTAAGTGATCCTCCTGCATCAGCCTCTGCAGTAGCTGGGATCACAGGCTGGTGTCACCACACTTGGATTTTTTCCTTCCACCACACTCTATGTTACAGCTGTAGGTCATTCCACTTAATCCCACCAGTTGTTACTGTAAATCTGTCCAGTTCACTCTCGCTGAGGGTTTTTCATGCTTTCTTCTCACCCACTCTCTAAGATGATATTGTGCTAAGGGTAGCCTAGGGTACACAGTGCTAAGGGTAGCCTCGAGTACATGGAGTTCCAAGAACTAGGGGACTGGTCTTGGCCCAGCCAGTGGCTTGTTATTGAAACTTGGAAATTCACTTTAGTTTTGTAGGTTTTAGCTCTTCAATCTGTAAAACAAGATGTTCAAATTATTTGATGCTGCGGAAAAAACAGCCAAAACCAAATTTGAGTCCAGCTTTTCCCATTTGTTGTTTATTTTTACCGACTCTCACTTTCTGTGCCTGTGAAATGGGCTACTACTATTGCCCTCATACGTTTATGGCAAAGGCAATGAGCGTGCAGATTTAACCTGTTTCACAGCAGATGGGTCCTCTTACCTTCTAACTGTAAGTTCATAACTGAGATGATGGTGTGTTTGCCCTTTGCTGGGTTATAGAGCATACATACTCACCAGGGTAAGCCTGCCCAAGGGGATTCTTTTCACATGGAAAGATCTACCAACCATCAACTTTGGAAACTACATCCTTCATCTCAGTGTCTGTGATTTCCTCCAAGCAAACCATGAATCCAGACTGTTAGCATATCCACAATACCTATGACCTCGTTTTTCTTGATTTCTCCAGAGAATTCGCCCAGTATTTCATCGCAGGCATTTTGGATCATCTTCGTCATTTTCTGTAGATCTTTATATTCTTGATACATCAACATCCTAGTCTGGCCGATGTTAACATCGAGGATTCCCATAGCCTCTTTTGTTCTTTGGCGAAGTGGAATTACAATGTGGGTTTCTCCACTGCTAGAAGCCAAGATAACTTCCGAAGTGTCTGTGCACTTAAAGAGAAAATCTCTGAAACCAAACCAAACAAGCACAGGTCGGTCACACATCAGCCTGCTCACAGCATCCACCAAGCTGAATTACTCCCTTATGCCCGCCTCGCCCCAGTGCGCCCGCCATCCTTCTATCATTCGCCTAGGGTGCTGCACCCATCACTTTCACGTGACTGTCCTTTGGCTTGACTCAGTTGGATGTTTCTCTTCATGAACATCCCTTCAGCAGAGAGCCTTCCCTGACAAGCTCACTTGAGGTAGCAGCCCCAGGTTGGTCGGCACCATGAGGCTCCTCTTCACTGGCTGACCGCTGGTGGTCATACTTATCTGAAGGTTAGTTTTTTTTTTTTTTAATGTACTGATAGTCTAAAATGTGTTAGATGAATGCTGGAAGATTCCCTAGAAGCAGAGCCTCAGACAATAAGCAAATGCTTATGAGGAAGTGCTCCCTGGAGAAACCAGGGAACTGAGGAAGCACGGGAAGATAGGGCGAAGATAAGTGCGTGCAGACCCAGCCTGCCCAGCCTAGTCCCAAGGAGGTGATCTGGGATGTCAACTGTACCAAAGACTAAGTCTTCTTCTAAGGCAAGCGGGCGCTTTTGCATCCTAGCCCTAGTCTGTCATTGGCTGTAAGCTGCTCTAGGTGTGTGGTGGGGGGTCTGGGACGGGAGAGTTCAGGGAAATCCTGGGTAGCTCCTAAGGGGCTCAAATCACTTCAGAGTGTTTCCTTAGAGAAAGTTTCCCTGCAGCAAAGCTGTAGCAGTGGCTACAGCATCTGGCCAGAGAGAGGCATGCTGGGGATCTGGGCAGCCGGGCTGCAACACCCGCTTCAGTGAGAGACTGAGATTTTCATGGAAAATGAAATCTCTAGTGAGGCAGACACATCTCTTTTAGACGTGCTGCCTCTCCTGTTGGTGGCCGTGATGAGAAGAACGCATGCCTTCTGTTGTTTATAGAACTAGAGCAAAGGAAGCGTCTGGCAAATTTAAAAAATAATAAATGGGCTATTAGAACACGTGCACTAAGGAAAGGCAGAAGCTGTGTCTTCAGATCTATGATCACACCAGTCAGGTGAACCAGATGTGTCTTATACCTGAAAATGCTCGACTTCCTCGAAATGGTTGGGGGTTCTGTATGGATTTCTGTTAGACCGAGATACTCTGTAACCATCATTTTGCGTAAAACATAGTCTTCCTGAAAAAGAGAAGAATTACTGAAAACAGTAATTGGACTTTGGGGGTTGGATAAAGAGAGAAAAACTAGGTAAGTTTAGGTGAGTTCTGGCTTTAAGGATTTTGACATTGTACATCTTCTGAGCCATTAAAGAATAATATTTCCAAAGTGAAAAATTTCAAAAGAATAAGATTATTTTAATACATATATTTTTCTATATCTGAAAAAGCTGTGTGTTTTTTTTTTCTTGTTGTTTGTTTTGTTTTGAGACAGGGTTTCACTAAGTAACCCTGGCTGGCCTGGAACTCCCTACGTAGACCAGGCTGGCCTTGGACTCATAAAGATCACTTGTCTCTGCCTCCTGAGTACAAGGATTCGAAACGTGTGCCACCACACCTGGCTAAGCTGTGTGTTTATAGTGTTTCTCATATTAGAGTGTGCATTGCGGGCCTGCTATGGTAGTGCATGCCTGTAATCCCCAGCACGTGGGAGGTGGAGATGGGGGGACCAGAAATTAAGGTTAGTCTTGGTTACACAGTGAATTCCAAGCCAGCCTAGGTAAGATGCTATCACAATAAACAACAACAAAAAGCATTGTAAAACATTCATAAAGCCGGGCGGTGGTGGCGCACGCCTTTAATCCCAGCACTTGGGAGGCAGAGCCAGGCGGATCTCTGTGAGTTCGAGGCCAGCCTGGGCTACCAAGTGAGTTCCAGGAGAGGCGCAAAGCTACACAGAGAGACCCTGTCTCGAAAAACCAAAAAAAAAAAAAAAAAACATTCATAAAATATGTAAAAGCTTATGGAAAATAAGTACAATAAAAATACTCAATAAGGTCATTGTTTCTGCTACTTCACTACAACTATTCTTGCCAAGGCTCTGAGTGAGTCACTTTCGAATCTAGTGGTCAAATACTAATCATCATCATCTACTGCTTGGCAACATTTTATGTGTTGAACATTCACATTTTTTTTAAGAGACAGGGTCTTACTCTGTTCCTTTGGTTGGGACTCGCTATGTGGACCAGGCTGGCCTTGAACTCATGAAGATCCACCTGTCTCTGCCTTTCTGGTGCTGGAACTAAAGGTGTGTGTCACCACACTGGGCACTTCTTTTTTTCTTTTTCAGATTTATTTTTATTTTTAATTATGTGTATCTATGTGTGGGTATGTACCTTTGAGTGAAAGTGCCTTCAGAGGCCAGAGGCATCAGATCCCCTGAAGGTGGAGCTACAGGTGACTGTGAGTCATCCGATGTGGGTTCTTGAACCCCTGTCCTTTGCAAGAGCAGGGTGCGCCCCTAACCACTGAGTCATCTCTGCAGCATAATTACACTCACTTCTTGATAAGCTTTCCTTCATGCGGCTTTTAGGACCCCACTCCCCACTCTCCCCCAGTTCTCCTCCTTCCTCACCAACATTCTTTTTCATTCTCTGCGCGCATCTTTGTTTCCCGGACTTCTAAGCAGTTTTCAACCTTTAGGACACATCTTAGAGCCTTTTAAATGTAAGTTGCCACCCATCAAATGTAGGAGGCAGTACATAAAATTTTCATCATTGATTCAAAATCAAAATGAATAAAGATGTTTCCAGCAGCCTTTGCCCATGTTCCATCGTGTGACACACAACATGTGCACCATGTCATGCCATGCAACACCAAGGAACACTGCCTGAAACACCTCGGCTCAGATTCAAGACTACTGTGCTATTAACTGCCATGTTTTCATTATATACACAAACTAATCTGCTCTTACAAACATAATGCTTTAATTGGGGAAGGAAAGAGTATTTATTTATGTAATTATTTATTTATTTATTATTTTATTTATTTATTTTTTTGGTTTTTCGAGACAGGGTTTCTCTGTGTAGCTTTGCGCCTTTTCTGGGACTCACTTGGTAGCCCAGGCTGGCCTCGAACTCACAGAGATCCGCCTGGCTCTGCCTCCCGAGTGCTGGGATTAAAGGCGTGCGCCACCACCGCCCGGCCTATTTATGTATTTATTTATTTTTCTCTCATACATTACACCCCAACCAAGTTTCCCCCACCTCCTCTGCTTCCTGTCCCTCCCTGCCGCCTTCCCTTTTCCCCGATCCACTCCTCCTCCATTTCCCTTCAGAAAAGGACATGTCTCCCAGGACATCAACCAAACATGGCATATCAAGGTGCAATAAGACTAGGCACCTCCCCTAATACTAAGGTTGGATGAGGCAACCCAGCAGGAGGAAAAGGGTCCTAGAAGCAGGCGAAAGGGTCAGAGACAGCCCCACTCCCACGGTGAGGAGTCCCACAGACCATAACATATGTGCAGAGGGCTTAGGTCAGACCCGCGCAGGCTCTCTGATGGTCAGTTCAGTCTCTGTGAGCCCCTAGGAGCCCTGGCTGGTTGATTCTGTGGGTTTTCTTTTGGTGTCTTTGACCCTTCTCCTTCCTCCCCGTCTTCTGCAGGGTTCCCTAAGCTCCGCCTAATGTTTGGCTGTGGATCTCTGCTCCCATCAGTTGCTAAATGAAGCCTCTCTGATGACAATTATGCTAGGCTCCTGTCTACGAGTATAGCATAGTATCATTAGGGATCATTTTAATTAATTAATTAATTACTTTAATTAATTAATTTATTGCCAGTCATGTTTGGTTCTATCTTAGGTCTCTGGGCTGTCTAGCCTCTGGTTCCTGGCCCTCCGCACAGTGTCAGAGGAGGGCTCCCTCTCATGGCATGGTTCTCAAGCTGGACCCCCTTTACCCCAGCAGTCTTGCTGGCAGGACAAATTGTAGGTTAAAGGTTTTGTGGCTGGGTTGATGTCCCAGTCTCTCCACTGGAAGCCTTGCCTGGTTACAGGAGATGGCCAATTCAGGCTCTGTATCCCCCATTACCAGGAGTCTTAGCTAGGGTCACCCCCATAGATTCCTGGAAGTTTCCATTATACTAGGTTTCTACCTCACCCTGAAATGTCCCCCCCCCCCCAGTTCCAGTCATCTTCCCAGTACTCTCTCTTCATCCCACTCCCACCTGATCCACCCTATTCCCGTCCCCATCCACCTCCAGCCCACCCTAGGTATCTATTCTATTTCCCCTTCCCAGGGAGATTCATGCATCTCCCCCACCACACACATACACCTTGAGCCCTCCTTGTTACTTAGCCTCTCTGGGTCTGTGATTGTAGCATGATTAACCCTTCCTTTCCAGGTAATATCCACTTATAAGTGAGTACAGATCATGTTTGTCTTTCTAGGTCTAGGTTACCTCACTCAGGATGATTTTTTTCTAGTTCCATCCATTTGTCTGCAAATTTCATGATGTTATTATTATTTTTTAAAACATTCTGTAAATATACCACATTTTCTTTATCTATTTTTCCCCCTAAGTATCTCACTTGCCTTATGGAGAAAGTCTATCCTGGATCTGGTCATACTGGAGACCAGCTAAATTCTCACTCACTGTCTTTCTCACCTACATACATGTGTGTGCAGGTTATGTGTGCCACATGTGTGGAGATCAGAAGTCTCAGTAGTTGATTCTCTCCTACTACCATGTCGGATTTGGGGATTGAACTCATCACACCTGTAAAAAAGTGTCTGTATGCTCTGAGTCAGTTCCCCAGCTGACTCTTGCTCCTTCTTCATTTTGTTCAAAGATACTCTTTTTTGCCTAAGGCAATTTGTAATAGATTCTTCTTATGTGGAACCGAGAGTTTTGAGTTGGGGTCATAATTTTATTTGTTTGTTTCTTTTTGTGTGTGTGGTTCTGAGATCAAACCCAGAGCCTTGAGCTTGCTAGCAGGTGATCTACCATTAAGCCACATCCCTGATGATAGGACTCTGAAATATTAACAAGACATTAATATTTAATAACTGTATAACATTGAAAAGGTGTAATACGGCCTGACTTTGCCTACCTGTTCTGAGCTAGGCTCAATAAAGCACGTAGTGATGGAGGTGATGCCGGATGTGATATTGAAGAGCCACCTGATGCCAGTGATCACAGTGTGCAGGATGTGCTCCCTGCTGTGAACGTGGTGATAGGCAGTGCTGAAGGCCTTGGCAACACCCTGTGAAGACAGACAACTTAACTTGCATTTTTTAAAACTGCAAAGTGGTCAGTAATAACTGTCTCTTAAATTTATGATCAACAACTTAGTTAAAAATCAGTTCTCAAGAGGTACTCTGAGATTCTGTTAGGCAAAAAGGATTATCTAGACATCAAAAGTGTAGAGAGGCCCATACAACTTCCTATGCTTTGCAATAGATATGTGCTGTCAGAAGAAGATAAACTTAGAAGGAAAAAGCCCTTTCACTACTACTACTACTACTACTACTATTATTATTATTATTGAGACATGTTCTCATTATGTGGCCCTGCCTGCCTAGCCTAGAACTTGCTGTGTAGACCAGGATAGCCTTGAACTCACAGAGATCCACCTACCAATCCACCAATTCCTAGAATTAACCTGACTCCAAATATTAATTTTTTATTTTTTCTTATTTTTTGGTTTTTTCAAGACAGGGTTTCTCTGTGTAGCTTTGCGCCTTTCCTGGTACTCGCTTTGGAGACCAGGCTGGGCCTCGAACTCACAGAGATCCACCTGCCTCTGCCTCCCGAGTGCTGGGATTAAAGGCGTGCGCCACCACCGCCCGGCCCCAATATTAAATTTTTTATATCTATGGCCTTTACCATCAGGTCAACAGAACAGAATATGTCTGGTTTCAAGATCTACAAATGCTAGTTACACCGTCTTCCTATAAGCATAAGACTGTTCCACAGAGAAGTCCATAATACCAGTTGTGACCTTTTCAAAAAACTCTAGAAACCACAAATTCTTCAAAATCACACACACACACACACACACCAACATATGTGGGAGAGATAGACACAGAGATCAGATTCAAGAAAGGGAGATAGATAGATGATAGATAGATAGATAGATAGATAGATAGACAGATTGATTGACATCATCTAATGGTAACCCAGGGGTTCAATTTCCAGGACTGAAGGCCTAATTTATAATCATCTGGGCATGCTCACTAATAAGACTATAAGTAGCTAATTTACTGACAGTTCCATACTCTACCATTTGCTTCCTGACACCTTTGTCTCATCTTCATTTGACATGAGAATGAGTCTTATTTAAAAATATGTTCAGAGAAAGAACCTGCCCATTTCCTCAGTTACCCAGCCACTAAGGTGAAAGGGGAAGTGAAACACAAAGGCAACCCACACCAAGAGCACAGGCACAGGCAGCTCCTGACTTGCTACAGTCCCCAGACTGTTGTGAGATATTTGTACCCTGGATGAAGATGTATTTGCTGTGATGGGGGTTAATAAAGAGCTGAATGGTCAATAGCTAGGCAGGAGGTATAGGTGGTATTTCTGGGGACAGAGAGGACTCTGGGAAGGAGAAAGGCTAAGGAAGAGGAGAAAAGCTAGTTAGAAACAAGCCTAAGCTATAGGCTGAGCTTTCATGATTAATTAATAAGTCTCTGCCTCATTATTTGTGAGCTGGAGGCCCAAAGAAAAATCTGAATCCAATCTGGAGACTCCAATATCCACATTAGGCTTTTTGTAAGAAAATGGTCTCTTGGGCAGTTCAGTGTATAGAGATGGGTCTCTTTTAAGAGGCCTTGCTGTGCAGCAGAGTACTTGAGCAGCTGGAATGCTGGGTAAAAATGCCTGCTGCATCATAGACTGAGCAGCTTCCCAGAGCTGGGGTAGTAAAGGCACTGGCATGAGGCGGCTCTCAGGGAACTGAATGGGGGTAGAGGAGCCAGCTGCCAGAGCCATGCAGCAGCTGGTGTGGCCAGTTAAGGTTTGTCTCATGGTCAGAGAATGCTGCAGGTGCTCAGAAATCCAGGTCCAGACACACACACACAACTCTAAAAAGGAACAATATGCTTTAAAATGTGCTTAGATGCTGAAGAAAGAAAAAAAAATGGATACTCACAGTCATAGAGAAAATAGTTTAAAAATAATAAAGAGAGAGTAAAATAATATGAAGAGAATAACAACTGCTGAGAGACACTGGATTATGGAAACTGCTAAATTAAACCAACCTATGCATTTTAAGAATGTCTTAACTTCAAAATGGAAGTCAGAAGATATGTTGTGTTAGGGAAGAGGTTATGCCTTTGTTTCCACAGGAATCGAAAGTTATGGTTCCCTTCAAAATTAATAAGGATCAGATTTGATTGGGGAGACCTCTTGAAAATCTTGGCTACAGACATGAGGGAAAAAAAACAAGAAAGACTACAAGACAGTGTAAGCTGATCCCTTGACATGGGAACAACACTGAGACTGGATGAGACATGATAAATCTTGTTGGCTACAGAGTCTTTAAGACTTATTATTATATGCCATCCTTTCATATGGCATGAATAGAGATTTATATTACAGTTTGGTTATGCAATCCAAACAGACTTATAAAGTTGACAGATGCCTTTTACCTGCTCAAATTTATAACAAAAAAATCATCTTTAGCTGACTTGTGCACACTGCACATTCCATACTTATATTAATACAGACATATATGTTACCTTTAAAAGTTTGTGGGGTTTTTTTTCAGAAAAAAAGGACTAGACACAAAGACAATTTTCTCAAGTGATCCAGCCTCTCAGAATGCCTCTGTTGCAGTTTCCTCAAAATTCTGCATCCAGAACAACTTCAAAGCTGCTAGCTAAGAGATCCAGTCTCACAGACTACTCTACCCAGGACTTCAAGTAAGCTCTGCACTTTCCCATTAAACAGAGACTGGGCAACAAATGTTACAGCTAGTTTTCCCAGGACTTGATCATTATCCCAATTTTCTCAGGGTCCCCTAAAGTTGTCATCACCCCCAAACAATAGTAAGAAATCTAGAGAACATGATGTCCACATTCCCAAGAGGTGACATGGGTAGTTTTTGGTCATTTGGTGGAATATGGATGTTTGTCATTGTTAGGGGGATTGGTTACAAGTTGCTATTGATCATGGTCAGAAAAACTAAACAAAGGAGATTAGATTCAGGGATTTCTTTCTGAAGGGAAAAAGGGAGAGATATAGTATAGAAAGAATAAAAGGGTAGATTAGTAAATCTACATTTAAACTAAAAAAAACTATTAATCTAAAATATTTTCATTGATATGGGTTTTTGTATGTTGATACAAATTTAAGGTTGTTTTTGTTATACTGTATATATGTTTCTATTCTTGTTTTAGACATTGTACCTGTGCAGCTCATTTTCAAATGTAATGTAAAATTCTAGTCCTTGAAAGCTATTTAGGATAATTGAGAAATACAGGTTAGTAGTTAGTTATCTCTAATAATTAAACTTGTAGTCATGTTAGGTATGTTTTTAAGATTAAACAGAGATATATTTTAGATAAATAGGTGGTCTTCAAACACTTCAGAGACCTACAGAATATGGCATTTAAGATGTTTTAATAACCTAAGGCTTTTCATGACAGTGAGACACGTCTGCTCCTGGCAGCACCAATTTACTTAAAAAAAGGGATGATGGGCATCAAAGAACCTCCATATGGAGTTTGCTTTTATTGTGGCAAAGTTAGCCACTGGGCAAGAAACTGCCCTTGCCTTGACTGCTGACAGTATGCTGTCTAAACTGGACAAGCAGGACACAAAAGAAAGCAATGTTGAACTTTGCCAAGACAAGGTAGGAAAGTCCTTCAAAATTTCTGCTTCACAGAGAACTCTGTCAGATATTCTAGGCCCACAGGCCAAAGATGGATGCCCCAACATTACAGATGAACCTTGGGTAACTATCCAAGCAGCCAGATGTCTATGTCATTTATTAGTTTAGAAAGTTGCTTGCTCTGCACTTCCTGTTACTCAGGTAACATTGTATCATTCTCAGGTCTCTGAAGGGGTTGAAGACAAGATAGTTGTAGTTATAGTTTTCCTTGTTACCAAATTCATAAAAGAAACTTACATATGAGATATAAAGTTTATAAGGTTAAGAAACATAGAAGCTGAGGCCAGCCTGGTCTACAGAGTGAGTTTCAGGACAGCCAGGGCTACACAGAGAAACCCTGTCTCAAAAAACCAAAAAAAAAAGGAAACATAGAAACTTAAATTGTTTACCTAAGAAGGTGTTTTAACGTCTGAAAAGATATTTTTATGATGATAATATAAGTAGTGATTGAAAATGGTTTAGGTCTAAAACTTTGGACTCACTGAGATAGGATAGATAGTACAGTACTTTCTCTGAATTTGCTAGATATAAATGAACTGGATATTGTAAATATAATTCTTACCTGATAATGGTTCTTATTGTATATAGTTTTACTATGTTAGAGTTAAAAACCCTTCCTTTTTATTTAGACAACACCTGATAATTGTCCTTACTGTATATAGTTTTACTATGTTAGAGGTAAAACCTTTTCTTTTTATTTAGACAAAAAGGGGAAAATGTTGTGGAATATTTGTACACTGTGAAGATATATTTGCTGTGATTGGGGTTAACAAAAAAAACTAAACAGCTAATAGCTAGGCAGGAAGTATAGGTGGTATTTCTGGGGACAGAGAGGACTCTGGGAAGGAGAAAGGCTGAGACACCAGGAGACACAGAGAGGAAACAGCAGGTGCAAGATGGAAGAGAGGTAATGCCACATGATAGAATATAGATGGATATAAATGGGTTAATTTAAATTATAAGAGCTAGTTAGGAACAAGCCTAAGCTATAGGCTGAGATTTCATAATTAATTAATTAATAAGTCTCTGTGTCATTATGTGAGCTGGCAGCCTGAAGAAACATCAGACTACAGTGGACCACAGCCTCCATGGCTTTAAATCTATAGCTTCATTGCAGTCTCTACCCATAAAATTAGATCAAGATGTTCTAGCTATTTCTCAGTCTGAAAGTGCCTATCATTTTCATGATCTAATTTGAAAACATGAATTCTCAAGAAATATTTGGGCTTCATTTTCATCAGAAATTAAACACTAAACAGGAGCTGTGAGGATGCATATCATACCTCTTGTGGAAAGAACAAAGGAATTGATAGGGAGCACTATTAATAAAAACAAACATATCCCTTTGTCCTAGCTTCATTTTTGCTACTGTGAAAAAAAAATCCTAACACAACTCAGGAAAGAAAGGGTTAACTCCACATTGCAGTGCACTATTTCAGGGAAGTCAAGGCAGGAATTTAAAGCATCTAAAACAGTGCTTCTTGACTCATGGGTCGAGATCCCTTTGATAAACCTCTATCTCCAAAAGTATTTACATTACGATTCATAATGGTAGCAAAATAAGTTACGAAGTAGCAATGAAAATAATTTTATTGTTGGGGGTCACCACAGCATGAGGGAATGTGTTAAAGGGTCGCGGCGTTAGGAAGGTTGAGAACTGCTGAAAAAGCATCACAGGCAGTCAGGAGTAGAAAGAGAACAAGCTTAAGGCTCTTTGCTCACTTGCTTCTATGCTCAGGTAGCTTTTTCCTACCACTGCTCGGGACCCTCTGCCTTTGAATGGTGCTGCCCAAAACAGGTTGGGTCTTCCCACATCATTAAGTATCAAGATAACTGTCCCTGCCCAGACATACCCAGAGGCTAACCTAATCTACACAAGTCCCCATGAAGACTCTCTTCCCAGGTATTCCAGGTTGTGTCAAGTTAGCCCACACACCCTTCTACACGTTCGTTCCTATTCTGTGGGTCTCAGTGGTTTGGTCATTGGTTCTGCACAAAGCATCAGTTTCTGTTCCTATGCTTCGTGCCAGGAGACACATATGAACAATATTCCCAGAGAGGCTCAGGCATGGATGTGTCCAAGTCCTTCCATAAATTATCGGGAACTTGTCAAAAGGCTGATCCATAAAGGAAACAGAACAAGCATGATGATGCTGTCTACATACAGTTCTACTCTCCTTATCTGCTTCTGGGTTTGACTTCGAAGACATCTAGACAGAGAAGCTGCTGAACTACTGCTCTTGTAGACTTCTAACTTACCTGATAGAATTTGATCTCATGATGTAGGAAGATGTTTATTTCACGGGGATCTCGAAGAGTGTCAATTGCCAGGACCCCAAAGATCCTCATATATGCATCATGAAGAGGCAGAGCCAGGAATGACCCATGACGCTCACTCTTCCTGCGGGAACTATTCCAGAAGAAGATGTTCCCATGGTGCTGAACTTGTGGGACATGGATTGGCTTGCCTTCATCCACTACTGTAAAACTGTTGAGAAGTGGATACCAAGGATAGGGAAAAGTTGCAGGCTTTAGACTAAACCATAGAGAAAACAAAATATAGTCTTCCATGCATGATTCTAAGCATTATATGTAGGGGAGGTGAATCAGGTAATAATATCACCAGTTTAGAGGGTCTAACTTGTTAAGATTTGAAAAAAATTATTACAGAGCTAGAAGTGTGGTTCAAAGGTAGAGTGCTTGTGTGGCATGTGGGAGGCATCCAGTTCAATCTCCAGTACCTCAAAAGAGAAACCGAGATAAGGAAACAACCTTAGATCTTAGAGGAAATATATATGTACCAGATGCTGGGCTACAAGGTATGGAGCCAACATTGTAAAGCCAAGCCCCTAAACAGTGAAGCATTTCCAGAGTGAGCTCTAGAAATGATCTGATAAAACCAATTAGGATCATGGGGCTTGAGAGATGGACTAGCAGTTAAGAGCACTGTTTCTCTTGCAGAGGACCTAGATTCGATTCCCAGAACCCACATGGTAGCTCATAACTCTAGTTCCAGGGGACCTGACACCCTCTTCTGGCCTCTGCAGACACCAGGCATGCAAGTGGTACACAGACATACATGTCAGCAAAACACCCATACACACAAAATAAATTAATTGATAAAACACAACAACAACAAAAACCATTTAGGACTGGAAGCCCATCCGGTCCCATTCTGGAAGCACTGGTCACTTAGAGACAGTTCTCTCTTGAGCAGATTACCAAGGTTCAATGCCTGCTTACTTCAGAAGGGAAAATACTGTTTTAGAAAGATCTAACCAGAGCCAGGCATGATGGCACACACCTGTAATCCAGCACTTGGAAGGTAGAGGAAGGAGGATCAGGAGTTCAAGGCCAGCCTTGACTCCATAGTGAGTTGGAGGCCAGCCTGAAGTCCATGAGCTCCTATCTTTAAAACGAATAGAAAGAAACCGACTCTTCAACAAGTTCTTACCTGATTCCTTTCATGTCCCTGTAGAGCACTTTGTTCAGTACAAAGGGAGCATCATCCAGGGTACAAGCCACATTCCTCAAGAGAACATCCCCTCTCTCTGGCAGGAAGAGGTTTTCTTCTAAGAGGGAAATGTGAGCACTGATCTTCTTATTTCCATGAGCTTCAGCATCCTGTGGCAAAATATTTCTGATCATGGATTTGCATTTGTCAGTGGCTACAGAGATCCCCTAATCCCTTTGCTAGCCTATTTGTGAATCTAGCATCAATAATTTCATTGAATAAGTGACACAGAGATTACCAATCATGGGCAGTGGGAAAAAGGCAGATACCACATTGCCCTTCAAACCTGAATTCTATTTAGTCAGTGGAATGGGTGTCTTATATGTAGTTAGACTGCTTTACTGAAAACAAACACAACCCAAACCAAAATAAAACCTCTTAACTCTAATCAAATTTAAAGGTTCAAAACTTCGATCCCTTGGAACCACAATCTCAGTTGGAGGTGAGGGACCTCAGCAAAGAGTACTGATTTCAGAAGGTTCCAGCAAGGGGATGCCTCCGTTCTACTCACCTCTCACCATCTAAACATGAGTGTGAAAACAAAGTTCCTGAGGATTCGTTTTAGGTTTTAAAAAAATTTCTTTATTTTTATGTTCTGTGTATGGGTGCTCTGCCTACATGTGTGTGCTCCATGTGCATGTCTGGTGCCAGCAGAGGCCAGAAGAGAACATGAGATCTCCTGAAACTGGAGTAACAAGTGGCTGTGAGTCACCATGTGGGTGCCAGGAATTGAAGGTGGGTCCCCCCTACAAGTGCAACAAGTGTACTTAACAGCTGAACCATTTTCCCAGCCTCAAAGAATTCTTAACAGCCTGGATCTGATCGGGGACATATCAGGAAAGTTTCTTGGAGACTAAGACTGTAGATTTGCTGTTTTAAAATTTGCATATAAAGATTAGGTTTCAGTGTGGCATTCATCAAAGTTTGCTTTTCTTTCTTTTTTCCTTTTGGTTTTTTGAGACAGGGTTTCTCTGTGTAGCTTTGCGCCTTTTCTGGAACTTGCTTTGGAGACCAGGCTGGTCTCGAACTCACAGAGATCCGCCTGCCTCTGCCTCCCAAGTGCTGGGATTAAAGGTGTGCGCCAGGACCGCCCGGCAAAGTTTGCTTTTGTTGATTCTTCTTCCCCCCTTCTTTTCTCTCCCTTGTCCCCCCACTCCATGGCCTCCTTTCTGTTTTCATGTCACATGGGACCCTTTGCGCTCCCCTCTCTCAACACCTCTTGCTCCCTTCTCATCCAGTTTCACAGTCTGTACTCATCCTTATCCCCTGCGATGGCTGTTCTTGATTGTCAAGGTGACTACATCTCAAATTAATCAAAGCATAAGCCGCTGGGCACACCTGTGGAGAATTTTTCTTGATTGAATTATTTGAGATCCACCCTAAATCTGGATCTTTTTTTTTTGAGCAGGGGGGGGGGAGATATCTAGCTTAGATCTGGGCCACACCTTCTGGTGGCAGCCTATATAAGGGCGTGGAAGAACAAAGCATTGCTCTTTCCCTCCCTCTCACTGGCAAGTCCATTCCTTCCCTGGTGTTGGAGCCACTTCTTTGGAATTCCGGTGGGTACTGAAGAGCAGCTGAGACATCCAGCCTCACGGACTGAGCAGCTGCTGGATTCTTGGGCCTTCCATTGGCAGGCAGCCATTGTTGGACCACAGCTTGTAAGCCAGTCTAACATCTCCCCCCAACCCCACCCCGGTTTATTTGAAACAGGTTCTTTCTATGTAGTCCTGGATGTCCTGGAGCCCACTCTGTAGACCAGGATGGCCTTGAACTCACAAAGATCCCCCTGCCTCTGCCTCCTGGATGCTGGGATTAAAGATGTGTGCCATTCCACTGGGTATACATCCTATCAGTTCTGTTTCTCTCAAGAACCCTGAACAACACCTTCCCTTTATTTACATACACACATTATTAAAAGTAAGGCTCTGTATATGAATGAGAACATGCAATTCTTATTTTTCTGAGTCTGGGTAACTTCACTTAATATTTCTAGAGTGCTCCATCTTCCTCCAAACTTCATAATTTTGTTTTTCTTTACAGTTTAGCGAAATTCCATTGTGTTCCTGTGCCACATTTTCATTATCCATTATCCTTTCGATAGACAGCTAGGCTGCTTCTGTTTCTTTGCTATTGTGAAAAACATAGGAATGAATGTAGACATACAAATATCTCTGTGGTAGGATATAGAGTTCTTTGGTATATGCTCAGGAGTGGTACAGCCAAGTCCCACGGTAGTTCTATTTTTGGCTCTTTGAAGAACATCCACACTGATTTCTATAGTGGCTGCATTAGTTCACACTCTCATCAGCACTGGGTAAGGCTCCCTCTTTCCCGACATCCTCACCAGCTTTTGTGGTCCTTTGTTTCATGATCACAGCCATTTTGACTGGGATGAGATGGAATCTGGATCTAGTTTTAATTTGTGTTCCCCAATGACTAAGAATGTTGAAACTTAAAAAAGGGTTGGTTATTTGTCTTTCTTTTCTATCTATCTATCTATCTATCTATCTATCTATCTATCTATCTATCTATCTATCTATCTGTTTGTTTTTTTTTTGAGACAGGATTTCTCTGTGTAACTGCCCTGGATGCCCTGGAATTTACTCTGTAGACCAGGCTGGCCTCAAAATCAGAGATCCACCTGCCTCTGCTTCCCAAGTGTTGGGATTAAAGGTGTGTGCCACCACTGTCTGACTTAATTATTTATTTTTTGAGATAAGGTCTCACTATGTAGTTCTGGCTAACCTGAAAGGTTCCCTGAACCAGTATGAAAGCCACTTGGTGAAAGGAGAAAATTGTCGCCACAAATTGTCTGTTCACCTCTACACACATCCCTAGCATGCTCCCCAATAATAAAAATAAAATTTAAACAAAAATTCTTTTTTGATGGGTAAATTGTTCCTCAAGCATCATGCAAAGTAAATGCAGCTTGCATTGCTGCATATCTCCCTACTGGCATTTTTCATTATCATTCTACTGTCTAGTCTTGCATATGAGAATCTCAGAACAAATATGTTTCCAGGTCATCATTTCCATATCTTTCTGTCTTGCTCCAATCATCCCGGCTTTATCTCACTTAGCTTGCTTTATTTGTATGTATTTTTTAAATAATTTATTTAACTTTATTTTATGTGCATTGGTATAACAGTGCCAGATCTCCAGGAACTGACAGACAGTTACAGAGTTACAGACAGTTGTGAGCTGCCACATGGGTGCTGGGAATTGAACTCAGGACCTCTGGAAGAGCAGTCAGTGCTCTTAACCACTGAACCATCTCTCCAGCCCATATGTATTTTTTTTCTAAGACAGAACTTTATGTAGCCCAGCCTGTCTTAAAATTCAGTTTGTAGCCAAGGATGATTTTTAAATTCTGATTATCTTGGTTCTATCTTCTGAGAGTTGAGATTGCAAGTATGTGCCACTCATATCTGGTTAACGAAGAGTTGGGGATTGAACCCAGAGCTTCATGCATGCTAGGCATCCTAGCAATTGAACTCCATCTCTAGCCCCTTACTTAGGTTTGAGTCATTTATAATTTTTTTGTAATAAATGAATCATCTTTAGTATCACTCAATGATTTTTTTCAGCATCCAGTGATTTTTTTCAAGCAAATTTTATGTGTTCCTCTTATGTAGCCATTGAATATCACATACTGTAAGAAAATGTTTCCTTTTATAGTACTTTAGAAAGCATACCTGGAGCTGGGCGGTGGTGGCGCATGCCTTTAATCCCAGCACTTGGGAGGCAGAGCCAGGCAGATTGTCTGTGAGTTCCAAGCCAGCCTGGTCTACAGAGCGAGTTCCAGGGCAGGCTCCAAAAGCTACACAGAGAAACCCTGTTTCAAAAAAAACAAAACAAAAGCAAAAATAACAACAATACGAAAGCGTACCTGGGTGAGGGCCCTAAAGGTCTCGGCATACACTGGCTCCAGGGACACCCCACTTGTCTCTGCAGCATGTTGGATCTGATGGAGCCACTTCCGTCTTGCACAGTTCCTTAGACCCTCAGTGTGGCTCCTCTCTAAAGAACTCATCAGAAACTCTACAACACTGTCCAGAACTTGGTCCTCGTTGCCCCTGAGTTCAGACACAACCAATTCTATGTACTTCTGAAACTGCTCTGAAGACAACTTTATTTCATGACCAGGATGTGGCTTTGGAAATTGGATATGCAGTTTAGCTAAAAAAACATAAGTGAGAAACAGAGAGTGGACTAAAAGGTCATTCATCTACGGGACATCTTTTCATTTTCCTCTCACAGCAAGCTGAAGCCCTTACATGTATGTTCTATGGACAACTGGATACACTAAAGGGATTTCTGAGCACTGTGACTGACTTCCTAGACTAATTCAGCATGACTTCTGTGCCGGCTGTGTTTTATTTGCCCTCTGGCCAGGTGAATTCCCAGTCTGCTGTCACCCTCCTGTTTGTCTTCCGCATCCTATCCTGTTGTGCTTTGGCACTGTCCTTTGCGGCCACTCATTTCCATTCCTACTTTTATAACCCAAAACAGAGTTTACCAATGGTGAATGATTCACACATATTTTTAAAACTAAACTAAAACACTGCCTGTTTGGCTAGGAATATGGCTCAGCGATAGTGCACGTGCCTAGCATTCACAAAGCCCTGGGTTCAGTCTCTAGGACACACCACACACACACCATACACACACATACCACACCACACACATACTACACAATACACATACTACACACACACACATACTACACACACACACATACTACACACACCACACACACACACACACACACACTATACACACTACACACACCACACACACACTACACACACCACACACATACTACACACATCACACACACCAACATGCACACACAGCACACAGACCACACACACACTCACATACACACACCACACAATAACACACACACACCACATATCACACACATAACACACACACACACACACACACACACACACACACACACAGAACTTTCCAGGACTCAGGAGGCAAAAGCATAAAGATCACGAGGTTTTAGAAGCAGCACTCCACCACTAAAGTATGCTCTAGATCTTCTCTTTCTCTTTAAAAATGTTATTATTTTATGTGTTTGCCTGCATGCTTGTCTGTGTATCATATGTGTGCCTGGTGCCCTTGGTGGCCTGAAGAGGGTTTCAGATCCCACAGAACTGGAGTTCATCTCACAACAGATGGTTGTGAGCCACCATGTGGGAGCTGGAAATGGAACCCAGGTCCTCTGGAAGAGCAGCCAGTATTCTTAACCTCTGAGCCAGCTCCTCTTCTATTTTTCTTTTGTACAATGATGAATCTACTATCAAACTTGAACGTTATCAGGAAGTTACCCTTTTCATCCTCTTCCACCCTGTTCTAGCCCATCTCCTAGCATCTCTTACCTGAAATTTGGCTTTTTTCCCTCACACTGTCACAGTTACACAACAGTGACCGTGTTGCACATGAATGTTCCTAAGCATTACACAGTTTAGTTTTACCTGTTTGTAAACACTACACAAAGATTGTCAAACCACATATAGTTTTCTTGAACTTGCTTTTAAAATGTTTTTCTTGCCGGGCGGTGGTGGCGCACGCCTTTAATCCCAGCACTCGGGAGGCAGAGCCAGGCGGATCTCTGTGAGTTCGAGGCCAGCCTGGTCTCCAAGCGAGTTCCAGGAAAGGCGCAAAGCTACACAGAGAAACCCTGTCTCGAAAAAACCAAAAAAAAAAAAAAAATGTTTTTCTTATCTTTTATCTTTAAATGTAATTAACTTAATTTTCATTCTTTATGTGTGTGGGCGTTTTGCCTGCAAATATGTCTCTGTACCATATGCATGCCTGCTGCCCTTAGAAGCTAGGAGAGGGAGTCAGATCCCCTGAAACTGGAGTTACAGATGGTTGTGAGCTGGCATGTGGGTGCTGGGAATCAAACCTTGGTCCTCTGGGAGTGTAGCCAGTACTCTTAACTTCTGAGCTATCTCTCTAGCTCCTTGCTTAAAAAAATAAAAAATGATTATTTTGTGTTTGTTTATGTATATATGTGTCTTCACGGTTTTGTGTGTGTGTGTGTGTGTGTGTGTGTGTGTGTGTGTGTGTGTGTGTGTGTCCATAGAGACAACAAGAGCATGTTGGATCTCCTGGAGCTGGAGTCACAGGCAGTTGTGAGTCATGTGAAGTAGAAGCTGGGAATTGAACTCAGGCTCTCAGCATGAGCAGCAAGGACTCTTAACTGCTGAAAAGAGTAAAGAGTCCACGAGTTCAGCCCCAGGACTCTCCTCCAGCCCCAGAACTCTCCTCCAGCCCCAGGACTCTCCTCCAGCCCCAGGACTCTCCTCCAGCCCCAGGACTCTCCAGCCACAGGACTTGCTTTTTCATTCAACATTGTTCTACCATGTCCGTCATGTTATTTCTGTAGCTTTGACTCATTCATTATGTGAAAATAACACCATTGATTATTTGTTCTTCTGGCAATATGCATTTCAGGTATTTTTAATATTTTACTCCTAGGAACTGCACTATAAGTATTCTGGTATGTGTCTCCTGGTACGTCTATGAAAGTGTTTTGACATTTATTATACATTAACAAGTCATAGGAATGTGATAGCTTATAATGATTGCCAACCTGATAGGATCAATAATTACCTTGGTAACAAATCCCTGGGCATATCTATGAGGGAGTTTTAGATTGGGTAATTGAGGTGGCAGAGTACATTCCTTGGGCTGGATCCCTTGAACTAAATAAAACAGAGAAAGTGAGCTGAGTATCAGCATTCACTCCGCTTGCTTCCTGATTGTGGTTGCAATGCCTATATGACCAGCTACCTCCCTTTCCTGACACCACACTTTCTTCACCATGATGGTCCATGCCCCAAATTGTTAGTCAAAATAAACCCTCCCTTCCATAAGCTGCTTTCATCACATATTTCTGTCACCACTGAGAAAAGTCACTAATAGATAGGGCATATGCCCCTTCCTTTTAAAGCGGGTTCTAGTTTTTCTCTCAAAATATCTTCCTTGTGCTTTTTCCTTCCCTTTAAAGACAAGAGCATCCATTCAGTATCATTTATTTGACAATTAAGAAGCACTACCTGGAATCTGCAGCCATTTTATCATGTGAAGCTCTTATTGCTGTAGTTAGGCAGGCATTCATTGATTTGTAGCTCTTTAGCATCCACTGATTTTCTTACTAGTGTTTGTAGTTACAATTTTGCCTTGGGGAAACCACTCTATTCTCATTGCAGCTCATGGGTTTGGGTGGGATCCATTGTTGTTTTAGACTTAGAACATGTTCTCCAGGGTCACACCAATTAGAACATTCTATGCCTCTAGTCAGAGTGGCTGGTTTAGTGTAGTAAAATGCCAGGCCTTTTCTGTTTGCTTGCTTTCTTGAGACAGAATCTCACTCTGTAGTCCTGGCTGGCCTGGGACTTTCTATGTAGACCGGGCTGGACTTGAACTCAGAGAAAGCCAAGGTGATGCAGAGTATCAGAGTTCACATGTACCAAGAATGGCATCCTTCGAGAGTAGCTTGGCATGGGTTGTCAGAGCCTGAGCAGTGTGAGGACCACAGTGGAAGAGCAACCTTTAGCTGGTGTGGGTGAGGAGGGTGGCTCTACAAAGAGGTAGGTTAGGTTTGGATGTCAAAGCCCTGTTCAGATTTGAGTGCTAAACAGAGTGAAGAGGACATCCAAACAGAAGAACATCTGGCCCAAGGAGTCACAACCTAAAGACAATGAAAAGAATATTTCTATCAAAAATATTTCTATCAAAGGGAAGTCCAATATGAGAAATCAGCCTTGGTAAGACTTTCAGGTATCAGTTATCTCTGCATAGGGAGTTGAGCCTGAATAGCTGAAGAGGACATCTATTCGACAAAGAGCCTTGGCATGCATGGAGTGTTAGAGCCTAAGAAATATGCTAAGGCACATCTATGGGGTTGATGTGGAGAGGGGAAAGGATCTACAAGAGTGGGAGGAAATAAGAATGGGTTCTGTTGTTTTGAACTGGACAGGGAAATATTGGTGTGAACTCATGATTTTTAATATTAGTAGAGATGTGTTTTATACTCACATAAACACGCATGTGCATATGCAAATCTTCTAGCTCTGTCTCCTGACAAACCTAGGAGGAAAGCCTTGGGAGAAACAGCGCTTGTGTAACTCACATCTTGGCTTCTACCTAATTCACATCCTACCCTTCAGTAAAAGAAACGAAGGTTTTTCCTGGGGAAATTGATTATTTCAGGATGGAAATGGGTGAAGCAGAAGATGTACCCGGAAGATCTCATGTCAGAAAGCAAAGAAGTGCTCCAAGAATGATGGAGACACTAACATGGCAGAGGAAACTGTCTAGCATTCCTTTAAAAACCAAAAATACCTATCTGCACAGTGGCTCAGAATCTGCAACATCTAAGAATCTCAAGAAAAATGATGCTGAGCGAAAAGAAGCCTTACCTAAAAGGGTGTGCATCGTATGGTTCTATCGATCATAGATAGAGGTTCTAGACAAGAAAAATCATGGTGGGAAAAAGCCTCAGTGGTTGCCTTGGGAATTGTGCTGTGGGACTGCATGGGAAAAGGACATGGAGGAGCCTCTGTTCTATCTCTCCAAAGAAGCATGAGCTATACTGCTCACGGGTTTGTCAAAACTCAGCAAATTTCCACTTAAAATTTACACACCTAAATATTGAACTCACATGAATTAGAGGCATACCTGTGTGTTCAGGAAGAAGTGTACATGTTGCTTTAAGATGTATCAACAATAGAGAAACAGATAGAAAGCTAAGGAGTGACGAGAAGCAGCCGTGGGGAAGGGCCAGCGGCAGAGCTTAGGCTGCGGGAGTGTAGACACCGCATTATAAGATTCTTCCAGACTCGCTGCATATTTGAACGTTTTCATGACACAATGTTGAGAGTGGGGGAGATGACGGGACAGGGGAGCCAGGAAAAGGACTGAATCTGGGGCAATGTGAACACTGAACCAACAATGATAATACTGGATTATAACCCAACGACTAAAACAAGAAACTGTTGTATGCTATCATAAACAAAAAGTTTGACCACAGAGAGAAACTTTTACAATGTTTCAAAGTACATCTACAACATACTATTCATAACAAAAAAGTCACTTTAAAGTGGAAGAGTTCACAGAAAAAAAAATTTAGAGAGCAGTTCTCACGTATCCCAGCTTAGTCTTGAACTTGCTCTGTAGACAAGGCCAGTCTGAATCTACAGAGGTGTACCAGAAAACCTAGTTTATGAAGTGCTGGGAGTCAAACTCAGTGCTTTGTGCCTGTGAGGCAAGTACACTGCTTACTGGGCTATATATCCAACCCAGCACATACCATTTTAATCAATTGATCAATGTTATTATCATAGGATTTCTAATAGAATTCGATAAGAATAAAACATTGATTACGTGTTCTGATCCTGCCAAAAGATGAGTAACCTGGATTTAACCACAAGGAAACAATAGACAAATCTGTGTAAGAGCACACTACCAACAACCAGCTTACAATCTTCAAATATCAGGGTCATAGTAACCAAGAACAGACTGAAGGATTTCTGAGGGATTCCTAACGTCCCAGTTTTCTAGCAAAAGAATAGTAGTTTTATGTCAGCTAGGAAGTAAAAATATAAGAAAAAAAGAAGAGAAAAACAAAATCAATAGAGAGGCTGGGCGGTGGTGGCGCTCGCCTTTAATCCCAGCTCTTAGGAGTCAGAGGCATGTGGATCTCTATGAGTTCAAAGCCAACCTGGTCTACAGAGCGAGTTCCAGGACTGCTAAGGCTATACAGAGAAACCCTGTCTCAAAAGAAAAAATCATTAGAGAGAATAAAGAATTAGTATACTGAAGAGGAACTTTAGAGCCAGCCAGACTTGATAGTTGAGAACTTACAAAAGCAGGAAACAAGAATTCAGGCAGTGCTAGTGCATGGTTTGGGAACTTCAACTTCAGAAACACAGGCAATCGGTTCCCAGACAGAATTCTGCCTGCGCTCAAGGTCTGGGCTGGAAACACTCAGCAACATGTTCCACTCTTGAACACACATGCATTCCTATCCATCTGCACACTCTTTGGCACTCACTGTGCCCCATTTAACAACTCCAACTTCTGGGTCTGGTGGTGCAGGCCTATAATCCCAGCTACTCAGTGGGCTGAGGCAGGAGGATTGAAAGTCCAAGGTTGGCCTTGACTACACAGCCAGTTTAAAACCAGCCTGGAAAGCTTAATGAAACTCTGTTTAAGAATAAAATAAAATAAATGGCTGGGTGGTGGTGGCTCACACCTTTAATCCCAGCACTCGGGAGGCAGAGGCAGAAGCAGAGGCCGGTAGAGTTCGAGGCCAGCCTGGTCTACAAAGAGAGTTCCAGGACATCTAGAGTTACACTGAGAAACCCTGTCTTGAAAAACCAAAATAAATGAATAAAATAAAATTTAAAAAGTAAAGTAAAGGACAGAAAGATACAGCTCAGAGGGCTTGACCATCATACGTGAAGCTGTAAATTCAACCCCTGGACTGAAAGAAGAAGAAAAAATTAAATGTACCAGCAGGTTTGGAACAGCCAGAGAGAGACAGAGAGACAGAGAGACAGAGACAGAGACAGAGACAGAGACAGAGGAGTGTTATGTACATGCTTATGAGTGTGTGCACTTGTGCATGCCAGTGTATGTGCACATGGAAGCCAGAGGTTGATGCTGGATGTCTTACTCAATTACTTCCTACTTTGTTTTCAAGACAGGGTCACTCACTGATTCGGGAGCTTACTGATTTAGCTAGACTGGCTGACCAATATGCCCCAGGGGTCCTCTTGCCTCTGCCTCCCCAGTGCCTGACTTTTGTGCAGGTGCTGGGGATCCAAATTCAGGGCCTATGCTTACATAGCAAGAACTTTACCAACTGAGTCACTCCCCAGCCTTCTTGCTAATGCTTGTTTTTGACTTTGTGTATATGGCATAGCATTGAGAAACTGAAAGCGAGGTTACTACCACAGCAGGAACATGCTGATATTTTACCTTTCTTCATAGACTCTCTTTCCATTCCCTCCTTGTATGTATACAGGAGATCATCCACTTCATTCAGACTCAGAAAGCCTGAGCCATCGTTGTCCCACTTCTGGAAGAGGGCTTCTAGAAGTAGTATCCGTCGGACTCGGAAAGCGTTCTGTCTAGCCTAGGTTACAAACAGGAACATAAGCACAGGAGATACAGTCTTGCATTTAAAGGAAGTGTAGCATCTCTCTCTCCTTTTGGAAACAGCTTTGCTTTGGGGCTAAGGATATTAAAGGGAAATGCAGAGACTGATTTTAATCCCCCAATTGCCATTTCCCTGTTTCACTTCTCAACCAAAAACATCCAGGAATTTGCTGTACGAGACCAAAACACTTTAGATTAGTAAGAATAATATACTCCTTAAAAGTTTTTTATTATTTCTTTTTACTCCCTCCCTGGTTATTCAAAATGATGATAAACACATAAGCACATGGGCAGCTCTACCTGGCTTTTTTTATTCATTATTTTGCTTATAATATTTATTTGATTTTATATATTTTTTTATTTTATAATTAACTTAATTTCACATATCAGCCACGGATTCCCCTGTCCTCCCCAATCCCCCAGCCCTCCCCCCCAATCCACCCCCCATTCCGACCTCCTCCAAGGCAAGGTCTCCCCTGGGGAGTCAGCCTAGCCTGGTAGATTCAGTTGAGGCAGGTCCAGTCCCCTCCTCCCTACACCAAGGCTGAGCAGACAGCTCATGTTGGAGAGGATGTGGAGCAAGGGGAACACTCTACCTGGCTTTTTAAGGGCATAAGATTTGTAAAGAAAAGGGATGACTAAATGACAGTGTTCAAATAACAACAACCAAAAATGGCTGTGTTTAAAAAAAAAACAAAACCCTAGTGAGGCTAGGGAGATGGCCCAGCACTCGTGAGCACATCCTGCTGTTCTTCCAGAAGATCCAAGTTCAATTCCCAGCACCCATATCTAACAGCTCACAACTGCCTATAACTCTAGCTCCAGAGGGTCCAAAGCCTCTTGCCTCCATAGATACTTAGACTCGTATGTACATACATAGACACACACACACACACACACACACACACACACACACACACACACGTATACAGAATTAAAATTAAAATAAATCATTTTTTAAAAGAAAAAGGAAAAAATGTTTATATTTAACATTTATTTAACCTAACATTGATTTTTTTACATTTTTTAGAATTTTCACTAAATATTTTTATTAGATAATAATTGACAATTATTGAATTACTATATAGATTAATTTTAAAAATAATGCATATGGCAGCCATGATGGCACATATCTACAGTCTCAGCACTCAGGAGACTAAAGCAAAAGGATTGTGAGTTTAAGGACAAGCTGGGTTACATAGCAAGGCTCTCAGTCCAAAAACCAAGGGCTTAGCTGGGTGTGCTGGCACACGCCTTTAATCCCAGCACTCAGGAGGCAGGAGGATCTCTGTGAGTCTGAGTCCAGCCTGGTCTACAAATCGAGTTCTAGGACAGCCAAGACTACACAAAGAAACCTTGTCTCGAAAAACCAAAAACAATAACAACAACAACAACAACAAAAAAAACCCCAAAAAATTCCCCCAAGGGCTGGAGATATAGCTCAGTAGGAGAGCACTTCCTAAATTATGCAAGCCCTTAGGTTTGATCTTCAGCACACACACACACACATAGACACACACAGACACATACACACAGACACGCACAGACACTCAGACATATACACACAAACACACAGACACACTTAGACCCACATACAGACACACACAAACACACAGACCCACATACAGACACACACAAACACACAGACACATAGATACACACACAGACACATAGATACACATACACATACACACACGAGTAAATAAGTACTTGTTGGTTAAGGGAAAGGGACAGCATTTAGGAGACTGAAGAGATATCAAGACTGGACTTGGGTTGAGAAGACTCATGAGAATGATGAGATTGCTTGAATAAACTTAGTGAGACTAATTCCTACGTTTCCCATGAGACAGAGTAAATTGCTCATATAAGGTAATGTGTGTGCATGCACATATCACTCAAGAAAGCAGTAAGTGCTTAGGACGTGTGTGCCACTGGGGGCCCATGAATAAAAACACATACTCAAGGCATAAACATATCCCTAAAGCATGTGCATTTGCATATGCGCTCACAAGGCAGACAGTGCATACCCACAGCTCCACATCTATGTATATCTGCTCCTCGGGCTTCAGAGAATAGGAGCAAAGCTGCACCCTGAGCCACTTCTTGCCAGCAGCCATCATGTCATTTTTAGGAAAATGAGTTCTCTGGAGCGTGATCTTGACCATCAAAAGGGCATTTAATGGTTATGCTGGTTGAAATAAAGTGGTGCACTTGGCCGTACGTTTTTAGAGACACCACACTCGGAGTGACTGAGGTTGGGAGATGGATGACTAGTAGTGACCTTACTTGCTGCACTGGTAAGTCGTATTACCCACCTGCTCCAAGGCTTTCATCTTCTCTTGTTTTGTTTCAAAATAGTTCTTCTGAAAGAAGGAGGTGAGACTCTGGCTGACACTTAAGGGGGTGTCTTCACCCACAAATGTCTCTAGGAGTTGCACAAACTGCAGCAAGTTGAGGGAAACTCCATCGAAGGCACTCCTTCCTTTTATTTCCTTATAAGTCTGAATATTTCTAACAATCGCATGCAGGTCTGTGAAGCAGGGAGATGGATCAGACAGCAAAGTAGATGCCTCTCTCAGTTTCAGGGAAAAAAAAAAAACAAGCCTCTGCTGTGATAAAAAACCTCCCACCACTTTGCTTTGGAGCAGGGGATTGAACATGGGCTGTGCACACCTTAAGCACGGACAGTACCGCTGAGCTAAAACTCTGCCTCCGACATCCATAGGTTTTGCCTCTCGGGATTCCACGCTCCCTCTATGAGGGTGGCATCCACGGTTTTCTTTGGAATAATTCTCTTCCACTGCCAGTTTGAAGGAGGAGTGAGAGAGCACCGAGCCTTCCCACCCTGGCTCCATGGATACATGATGTAAGATTTGGCCAAGAATTCACATCCGACAACTACACAGCCTACTGTAGGCCAATGAGAGTCAGCTTCAGCACTCTTTTGAGAGCCACTGAGGAGATTTTTGTTTTGTGTTCTGATTGCTGAATTGGTAGAATGTGATACATAGCTAGATGCTCCTGTGGCCATTTTTGAGACACTGTGAAGGGAACTGACTAAAATTGAAAGTGACACCGAGGCTATGGCTGAGAGGCTGAGAGAGGCTATGGCTGAGAGGCTGAGAGGCTGAGAGAGGGTCCTCGGTTGGGGCCGGTTGGGGATGAGTCAACCACTCATCCCATTTTGATTCTATGTGGGATCTGATGCAACTGAGAAATAATTACCCAAAGATTTGAAAAACATTGCCAACCAAAATTGACATAGAGAAAGAGTATGAACTTGCTAGTCATAGGAACTTGACAAACATTATGCATGTTCATTAAAACATTTTGAGGACGGACAGTGTATCATTTTTGCCCTGGGAAATGGTTCCATGGGTGAAGGCTTTGCTGAACAACCATGAGAAGCTGGATCCATGTAAAAACTGGGTGCAGCAGCATGTGCCTGTAATCCCAGTGCTATGGGATGTTGACAGGAAGATCCTGTGGCAATGCTGAACAGCCAGTGTAGCTGAAATGGCAAGCTCCACGGTCTTCCACGAAAGACCTTATCTACCGAATAGTAAATTGTCAGCAACAGAAAAAGATACATCAACATCTGGTTCTCACACATAATGCATGCACCCATGCGTAAGTGCACAAAAAACATGCAAAAATCACATGTGCAAATACCAATTAGTTAATTAACTAAATTAAAAACAAAATTCACTATTTGATTCAAGCTTAAATGAGAAAAGATTGCATGTAGAAAATAATCTTGATCTAATTATAATTAGTTCTACTACTTAAAGTGATGGAGAAAATAATAAAATAGCATTTTTAAAAATATGAATGTTACTTGAAATAATTGTAGCTATAACACATGGCTTATCTGAGTGCTAAGAACAGCTCTTCCGTCAGTTCAATAGTTTTTCTTTGTTAAGTCTTCATAAACAAGACAGACTCACCTGCCTAACATGTTTGGGTGTAGACCTACTAGGAAAATAAATAATTTATTATTTTTATTGAGTTCTATCTAATATCTGATTCCTTTGTATGCTTGGATCATGTCTTTAAAGCAGTGTGAGGGTATGCAATAGTTAAAAATAAAGTATACCAATGCCAGCAATTTTAAAGCCTGAGGACACTCACCAATAGCATATGTCACTACCAAAAGCATACCACCACCACCAAAAAAAAAAAAAAAAAAAAACAAAAAAAAACCAAAAAACCTGTCTTGCTTCTATTTAGGTTTGTCAGTTCCCAGGGACAAGAGAGCATAGGGATGTCAGTGTGTTTTAGTTGAACCCAGCCTTCAGCACCGGGCACAGTGGTGGACTGGAGCCATGTGTTAGACTGTCATCTGTGTTTCCGAGTTTGTTAACATGCACCTGTGAATCTGGAGTCACCGTAGATTAATTTTGCCTGCTCCTCATCTTCAGATTGTACCTTCCAGTCACAGGCCAAAAATTCACCTGTGAGAAACACATTCCACAACACAGCTCATTTTATTCCACTTTAACCATGCTTTCCCTCTAGTGTACAAAGACAAGGAAAACTGAGTGAGATGCTACCTGACCATGATTTTCCTTCTATGTGTTGGGGCTTCGGTTCGCAGGCTTTGTCTTTCTCAGAGTTCATTTTTGAAGCTCCTACTGGAATAAAGAAAAAGACAAGGCTGGGTGTGATGGCGGGTGGGTAAAAGTGCTTGCTGTCAAGTCCAATGACCTGGTTTAATCCCAAAGATTCACATGGTAGAAGGAAAGGACTGACGCCTGAAAGTTGTCCTCTGACCTTCACACATGTACTGTGACATGCACGCACACACACACACACACACACACACACACACACACACAAGAAAAGAAAATTCCTATGGATTAGAAATAATATAATTCATTAGACATTCTGAGTGAGCTTAATGAGACAAATTCCTTGCATACATAACAGCCCAAACCCCAAGACCTTCCCATGTATGTGTATCATAACCAATCACAATGGAACCACTTAATAATTTTAATTGTTGAGAGAGGTTCTGTGGCAAAAGCTATTTGTTTGGCCACACAGAGTGAGGCTGTATTTCCCAGCCTCTCTTATAGCAAAGTGTTACTAGATGTCTAAATTCTAGCCAATGGGATGAATATATATTAAAATTCAGGGGGCTGAAGAGATGGCCTAGCCATTTAAGAGCACTTATGCTTGAAGAGGGTCTAGGTTCTGTTCCCAGCTCCCATATGGTGTCTCACAACCATCTGTAACTCCAGTTCCAGAGGAATCAACGCCCTTTTTTGGCCTCTGTGGGTATTGCACACATAGAGCAGACATGTATACAAGCAAAACACCCATACCCATAAAATAAAATTTAAAAATACTTTAAAATATTTAAAATTCAGAGTGGTTTTTTTTTTGGTCTGAAACACAGTTTTTGGAAACTCTTATAGAAAAAAATGCAAAAATGAAGGATGTAAAATCCTGATTTTATATGTTTGTTTTTCTGAGACAGGGTCTCTCCAGAGAGGCTTGACTGGCCTGGAACTCACTATGTAGACCAGGCTGGCCTCCAACTTGTAGCAATTCACTTTCCTCTGCCTCCTGAATGTGGAGAATAAAGGCATATGCCACCATGCTTGGGCCAGTTGTTGTTGAAATAAAAGAAAATTTAAAAGTGATTTTCATTTAAAACAAAAATATTTCTGCTTAAAAACAAACAAAACACTGCTAGATTTTATATTAATGGACTTCTGGTAAAAATGAAATTCTAGGTAAATTAATAATAAGCATTCTGATTCTAATTTAATTGAGCGTTCAAAGTCTAGATTCAAGTATTGAGCACCAAAATACATCTGCGGTTTTCCATGACATGATACACCAGCAGAGATCCTAACTTAAATGAATACTTTCTGAAAAGATTTTTAAACAGCCACTCCAGAAAGTGTATATGTGTGTACAGAAAGATGATTTTTATAGAATTAAATAACTACCTGGAAGGCGATCTTTTTTGCTGCCCCCTGGCTTTTTGCTGTTTGCGGGAACTTCCTCACGCTGTTGGGAATCTATGGCGGCTTGCTTTTCTTTTATGGTCGGCAAAGGCTTTTCTTCTTGAGATTCCATTTTTTCGAATTTCGAGGCTTCACTTTCTTTTAAGGTGCCGCTTTCTTCTAATTGTGAGGTTGATTCTGCGTCTGGTTCTTCTAGAATGGTGTCTGTCGGCGATCCTTGTTCTGACTCGTACTGTGGCTCTTCTGTTATGGACTCTTTATGTGTTTCATATTCTGAATTTGACGCTTTGCGTCCCGCTGACCCTTTGCGCTGACCTCCAGTTCCTTTGCGCTGTCCTTGGTATATCAATGATCCTTTGCGCGACCCGGCTTCTGAACTCCTACGAGACCCAGTATCTACAGATGACCTTTTGCGCTCTTCTGCTATTGATGCTCTGTGTTGCTCAAGTTCTGAAATTGACCCTCTCTGTGATCCTTCTTCCTCTATGACTGACCCTTTGTGTGGTTCTTGTTCTGACACGGAGTCACTGTTTAGGTCTTGCTCTGTCTGTGGCTCCTGTTCGACTGCGGAAGTTCTGCGGGACGCTTGCTCTGCAACGGACCCTCTCTGCTGTGTTTGCTCGGCTGCAGAAGTTCTGTGGGACCCTTGCTCTGCCACTGACCCTCCTCTGTGCGATCTTGGCTCTGCTACTGACGTTTTGCGAGATCCTTGTCCTGAACTGGATGATAGGCGCGACCCTTTGCCCTGTCCTTGTCCTGTAAGAGACCCTTTGTGGGGTTTCTTTCCTTTGCTGGCTCCTTGTTCTGAAGTCAGTGGTGTTCCTGGCTCTGTGGCTGACTCTGGGGATGGTTCTTGGTCTGCACTTGTCTCTCTCTGCTGATCTTCATTTTCTTGGAGTTTGCTAGCAAGTTTTTCAGCCATTATCACATTCATTTTTAAGAGCACCTCATCAAAGTCTTCATAAATATGCTTCTTCATATCCATATCTCCCCAGAACTCAGGCAACTCTATCTCCTCAAATTCAATTAATGGCCCTAATGCACACAACAAAGGAGTTATCTAAATAAAATCTTATAGTGTAGAACCAGAATTATTGAATTAATGCAAAAAATAGCATTGAGGGCAGAGATTATAACATAAGCTTATTACTCTAAAAATAAATATCAGAATTGGGTGTTGTGACTCGTACCTTTAATCCCAGCACTTGAGAGGTAGAAGCAGGGAGATCTCTGTGAGTTTGAGTCTAGCCTGGTCTACATAGTGAGTTCCATACATAAAGAGATCCTGTGTTCAACAACAACAACAACAACCCCAAGCAAACATACAAAATCAGGTACCTTTTGCTGCAATTAGAAACTCAAAGAACACAAAGAATTCTCACTACTATGAATTAATTATCAGCCCTTCCGGATGGTGTGGTTTACAAAATGAACGTGTCTTTTATTTTGCTGTTTGGAGTGTTGCTTGGATAGTTAAATGAGATTTGTCCCCTACCTCTGTGGTCCCTTTCCACACAATAAGCACAGCATAGAGATGGGAAATGGAACTGTCTTTCCATCTCAAGTACCTTTTAAAATATCTGCAATACAGGCTGGAGAGATGTGCTTGATGCACGGCACTGGGGACCTGAGTTTGATCCCTAGAGTCCACACAGAGACAGAAGAAGAGAATCGATTCCATAAAGTTACCCTCTGACCTCCACATGTTCACTGTGGCATGCGTGCACCCCCCAACACACACACCTCACACTCATACTCCAATAATAATAAATTAAAAATTAAAAATCCTACACTATATGAACAAAAGCTAGCCTTATTGATGGCAAGCTTTCACTGGGTTTACTGTCCATCCCTTCATGTTCCTTCAATTCTTTCTCAACTCTTCTTCTATGACTTAAGTGGACACGTGGTTCAGAATTTTATGCAAAGAATTTAGAGTGAAGCTCAGGGGTAGGTTGTGTGCTAAGTATAAGTTCAGTTTCTAGTACAGAAGAAGGAAAGGGAGTGAGAGACAAGAGTGCCATAGTTAAGAAGGAAGGACTTCAGGGAAAGACTGACTGGATGCTTTTCACCAGGATCCTGCTGTTGATCCCAGCAACAAAATCTGCTGGGTATGATTATGCAGGCTGTGATCCCAGGTGAGGGAGAGATTTAGAGTCTCTAGGACTTATTAGGCTACATAGTGAGATCCTGTCTGAAAAAGTATATCCCCCCAATAAAATTCCACAAAATCCTGTCTGCCCCCATTCTTCCCAAAATATTTAGTAATTAAACTATAACACTGGCCCCTACAGCTTTTAGTATACTACCTACAGATTCTTAAGTTTCCAAGTAATAAATCTACACACAGGAATAAGATATTAATATTGTTTAGCAAACCCAGCCATTAAAAGTCATTCTCTTAAAAAAAAAATAAAAATAGAGTCACAGGATGCCTCGAAAGTAAAGGAACTTGCTGCTAAGCCAGAGGGAAGATCTGAATTGGATCCTCTGGCCCCACAAAGTGGGAGGAGAGAACTTACAGCTGCCTTCTGACTTCCACGGGAGTGCTATGGCACTCTCCCTCCCATAATAAATAAGTGTAAAAAACAACAACAACCTTGTAATGGTATTTATTGATAAACATATAAAAGAATATTTTAACATGCAAGGTATACATGTATATTTTACAATAAAAGCAATATAAGTAAAGCTGCTTGGCAAAAGGAAGTATCTCCCACAGAAGTCTTAGAACTCTAAGTTGGACATTATAAACAGAATAACCATTCTTAACTTAATTCCTAAGGCATTCAAACATCATCAAGGCCTTTCTTCATTGAAACACATTTAAAATTCGTTCTAGCTGAATTCTGCTGTGGCAGAAGTTCTCATATTGCACTCTGGTGAGAAATACATGTAGCTGCGAAGAAAAGTGAATTCTGTGGGAGTATGAACAGTAGATAAGGTATGGCTACCATGTCTCAGGGGATGATATGCAGAGATCCCTCAGAAGTAAAATGATCCCATGTTATCTACCATTGTACTCCGACACCCAGCCTCAGTACCCTCTTACCTTTGAGTGACACTTACATTGTCTTGGGTTTCGGAGTAAACTCCTCGTAGTTTGTGAGCTTTGATCATAGAATGTTTCCAGCAAGGCCAGTGTCCTCTGCCGATCCAAGGCCTTCACCTACATGGAAAGATTGCGATGAGTAGCTGCAGCAGATTTAAAAGTTTTTGTGATGCTAGATCATGACTTTCTGAGTAGGTTTATCATTGTGACCACCACCAGCTCCATCAGTATCATAAAAATGAAAGCTACTGCATCAAATCAATAAGCCAGATCTTATATTCATTATTTCAATAAGCTGGATCTTATAGTCATTTCTCCTGTTGTTACATGTCAAAATGCCTTGGGCTTAGTGGATATTTAACAAAGAATTGTTGTGACTGGCTTTACTTGATGAGTTCAATGCACAGGTCTCAGTTCTTACCTAACCTGACCTGTGCTCCTTACTTGTTTGTTTATACACCATTTTGAGAAAATTTTCATGACAGAAAAACAAACAAAACATGGTAAAGCTAACACCACCTGTGATCTTAGTAGCTGGAATTAACAATTGTTTAAGGCACATACAGGGTTTAGGAGATGGCTCAGTTGGTAAAGTGCTTGTCTTACAAGCACAAGGGTCTGAGTTCAGTTCCCAGGCCCTACATACAAAAGCTGGGCATGGTGGTGAGTCCTTGTAATCTCAGCACTGGGGAAGTGGGGACAGGTGGATCCCTGGGGCTCACTGGCCAGCCAGTCTAGTTGACTTGGCAAGTTCTAGGCCATTGAGAGACTCTGTCTCAAACAAACAAACAAAAAGAACAACACCCAAGGTTCTCTTTTGACTTCTACATGTGCATGCATACACATACATGCACACATGAACATGCCCACACACATAAAAAAGCATGCACAAAAGTGTGCTAGACTGCTAAAACATATGTATCATTCTTTACATTGCCATTTTAAATTGTAGTTTTGGAAGAGGCTTGAGCCAGGACCTTGCTATATAGCCCAGTATGGCCTGAGATTTGGTAGTTAGCCCAGGCTGACCTGGAACTCAATATTCACCTATTTTGTCTTTCCAAGTTCTGGGATTACAGGTGTATGCTTCCACGACTAGCTCTCAAAGTGATTTTGTTTCCTCAATGTTGGGATCTAATTTATGTAGATAACTACATTTTGTTCATTTTAGGGGCTAGAGAAATGGCTTGCTGATTTTGCAGGTTCAGTTCCCTGCACCCACATGGCAGTTCCTAACCATCTATAGCTCCGGTTCCAGGGATTCCAACCCCCTCTTCTGGCACCAGGCATACCTGTGGTACATTTACATTCATGCAGACAAACTATTCATACATGTAAAGTAAAAACTAAATCTCAAAGAAAAAAGAAGTATATTTTATTCATTTTAACTGCTATACAGTATAATATGAAAACACTGTAATTTCTTAGCATTCTTTTATGAATAGAAATTAGGTTGCTTCTGGTATTTTGAGAAAAATATGCTGCAATGTCTAATCTTACATACACCTCCTAGCATGCATTTAGATACATTTTATAAAGTAAATATGTGGAATTACTATCAGTTTGCTTATAAACTGGGTCTTTCCTCACTTTCTTCTGAGCTGTAGAACTAATAACAGGGCTAATACCAGCAGAGCAGCAAAGGAGACTTTTTTTCCCAGCTCTGGATGTGAATAGACTGAGACATTCACGGCTCCCTCCAGCCTGTTGTCTGGCCACTGGTGGATACATCCAGAGCCAACAGGTAGAAAGTTTTGACTGCCTTAGGGGCTTCAGCTTGGCTTAGTCCCTGAAGATCACATGGCCTATGGTCTTCTTATCTACCATCTTCCCATTGTCCTGTTTCCCTCTGCAGCTTGACTCTAAAACAGCAGCCACAGAGCTTCCCCAGAAGTTTCTAGCTGGTTCTTTATCTCATTCCCACAGACTCCTTTAGAATTTTATGCTTCCCAGCTCTGGATTCTCAGGCTTCTTTGAAATTCTTTACTTTTTTAACCCCTTGCAGTCATTCTGTAACACACACACAAACACACGTAGACACACACACACACACAAAGACACACACACACACACACAGCTTTCTTTCTTTCTGATTTTTGGTTTGTTTGTTTGTGTGTTTTGAGACACAGTCTCTCAACGTAGCCCTGGACTGTTCTAGAACTCACTATATACAACTGGCTGGCCTCGAACCCACAGAGATCCACCAGCTTCTGCCTCCCCAGTGCTGAAATTAAAGCCCACTTTAGTTTCCTTACTTTCAACAGTGTGGTCTACTCAAGCTTTTATCTTTCTAGAGGGCTGGGGTACTTTGCTGGTACTGCTACCACCTCCATTTCCAGAGATCTTCTGCCTGTTCCTCCTCATCTTCTCACAGTTCCTGAAGCGAGGTTCTCCATAGGGCAGCCTCTCCCTCAGCCCAATTTCTTGGGAGAGCTGGTTCAGATTATTTGGCCGGATGTTAAGGACCAGCTGACTTCTTCCCTGAGCCAGGGCCTCTTCATCTTGCTTCTCTGCACAGTGCTCTGTGCTGGTTCATCCACAGATGCTTGTCTTCCAGTGTGAGGACCCTACTTTCTGGAGCTGTTCAACTTTTTTTAAAATTCCAGTATCTTCCTTCTTTCCTCCCAAATATTCCCAGTGATCTCCCAGACAGAAACTTACAGATCTTCTGGGATGTCTGGAAGGATGCAATGGGCAACACCAGGCAGGATTTTATAGTTGGGGAAGTTTGAAGATCAGATTTCCTGACCTTATAATACAGCAAATTTGGCTTTTCTGATGGTGACCTGAAATGGGAATCTGGATCTTTCTAGAAGCTGACATGTGATCCTGCTTCTCCTTCAACCACCACAACCAATGCATTATCATTCTTAAAGCATTTCCTGAACAGTATGCGTTCCCTCGATAGCTCTGTGCCTCTCAAGAGTAACTCCACAAGAATCAGCCTATCACATATAGTTCTTGTTCACTGAAGCCTTTATTTTTATGGGATAAAAAATTCTGGAATAGGCTCAGTTGTTTGAAATGTGTACACACACACACATTATTTATTTAAATAGATATATCTAGATTGTTTCACAAAGACACAATAGCTATTAACTTTCACTAGGAATGTTTGGGAAAATGTTTTCTTTCTATTGTTGAGCATACAGTGATTCTAGGAATTACGTGTTTGTGTTCTTTGTCCATTTTTCTTTAGGTGCCTATGTGGCATCCTGCCGTTAGGTGCCAGTCGCTGGGCTTGTTGACTGTGTGGTATACAGACAGCATGCTGCTTACTCATTTGGAAGTTTTGTTAGGGTTTTTATTTTCTGTACCCTCGGTGGCTTTCTAGAGGTATTCCTGGAACTTCTCTGCACAGGCGACCCCCTTCACAATGCATATTTAGGAATGCTAATCGTTGGCTGTCAGGGTGAATGGAAAGTGCTCTTGGGTCTATCTACTTAGACCACCTTCCACTGTCCTTAACTCCCCCCACCCTGCCGCCTACTTGTTCTTTCCAAATGTTTATAATGTTACCTTCAGCTTCCCAGCTCTGATTAGGGCCAAGGAATGGAGGCTGAGGTAGTAATCTAACTTAGAGACCCAGACAACCTCTATGTTAGTCACAGTCTCCAGCCTCCTCCCACCAGCTGGCCCCAGTTTCCTAGTAAGACATAAACTGCTTTGATACTAATTTTTGATACTATTATTTATTTTTCCTTGCTGTAGGATTCTCTAGTCTTTCTCAAGAACCCAGTATTTTTATCTTAAAATCCAGGTTTTCTAAATGTTTGTTTCAACCACTGCTGAAAAAAATATCCATTCAGAAAGTCAATTGACTTTTGTATCCTGGATTCTACTTTCCTTCCAAAATCACCACATGCCTGTTTAATGATGGGAGGAAAAACAAGGAGCACAAGCAAACCTCTACTAATTCCTCCCAACATTACCCCACCATGTTGACCATGGCACTGGAGTTGCTGTTAAAGTAACTGGCCAACAGACAGTAGTTGCCTTCTAGGCATTTTACCAGGAAGTAAAAATCACAGTCCCAGAACACCCTAGCAAGTTCTATCCAAGAGGCACCGTTCAGAGACATGCTTGAAAGACAAATAGGCATCACAGATTTTATAGAATATATTCCTGATTTAAGTTAAATTAGCAGAGATCTGAGAAGCGAGATTACAAAATGTCAGTTTCCTTTGAGAATTACTTTTCTCTCAGCTGGTTGTGATTATCAACACATTTAATCCCAGCACACAGGAGGCAGAGGCAGACAGATCTTTGAGTTTGAGGCCAGCCTGGTCTGCAAAGCAAGTTCCAGGGCATCCTGGGCTACACAGAGAAAACTGCCTTGAAAAAACAAAAAGAAAGAAAGGAGGGGAGGAGGGAGGGATAAAGGAAGGAAGGAAAGAAAACAGAGAAAGAAAAAGAGAGAGAGAAAAAGAAAGGAAGGAAGGAAGGAAGGAAGGAAGGAAGGAAGGAAGGAAGAAAGAAAGGAAGAAAGAAAGAAAGGCAGGCTATAGGGGCCAGCAAGACGGCTCAACAGGTTAAGGTGCTTGTTACCAAGGCTGCCAACCTGAGTTCAATCCTGGGCCCCACATGGTGGAAGGAGAGAGATGACTGCTGTAAGCTGTCCTCTGACCTCACACGCGCACCAAGGCCTGTGCATGGACACTTGCACACATCCATCATAGATACATAAGTAATACACGTGTCCTGATAAAATTAATTGATTTATTTATTAGGAGTACATAACAAAAGACATTCACTCTATCATATAGGATCTCAATCTCTCTCTCTCTCTCTCTCTCTCTCTCTCTCTCTCTCTCTCTCTCGACTTTTTGATGGGTTTCTCTGTGTAACAACCCTGGCTGTCCTGGCTCTGTAGACCAGGCTGGCCTCAAACTCATAGAGATCCACCTGCCTCTGCCTCCTGAGTGCTGGGATTAAAGGTGTGTGCCACCATGCCCAGGCACATAGGATCCCTTGGATGACTACCTTCAGGAGAAATACTTGGTTATATTTCAAACCCAAATCTATATCTCTCTCTCTCTCATACCTGTAGCTACACATGCATGCATGTGGAGGCCAGAGGACAATCTTGTCTTTTGAGACAGAGTCTCTCACTGACC